ATGTAAGTATGTTATATCTAAAAAAAACAGATAAAGTGTGATATTCCTTTTAATCAACTCATTATTAATTGCACGGAAATATTTCTTTTTCAGCGGTTTTTAATATTTCGACAGAATGGCTATATACGGCGGTCAATCATTTTGTATATATTAACTCATGCAAGTACATTATATCACAACTCAAGTTATGTTTGATTTTCATGACACTCAATTCATTATTAGAAGAATCATGCCTGTTTTTATAAAGATGTTCGCGAACTTATTTATTTTCATAAATAAGTTTAAAAGTAATAAGATGAATGCGTTTATTATTGGCATGAAAGTCTGCAATTATACCAAACACAGGTCAAGTGGCAATCAGCTATTTTTAACCTTGCTAAAACTGATTTCTTTAAATTAAAATGAAATCCAGTTATAACGTAGTCAATTATATTCTGTTACTTATTGTTATCTAAGAAAAAAAATAGACTGCATTACTTTTATTTTAACTTTTATACAGATGTTGCAAAAGTCATAATCTGAACCATTTACAGCAATAAATTTGTTATCTTTCTTTAAGGCACATTTTTGACCATGATTCCTTCTTGTTAATTTTCCATCGGGCTTATATTGCCCGCCTCAGCAGAGCTCTTGTTAATTTTGTACTGTTTTAGCAACCTGTTAGCTCACATTTACGCTTAACATGTATTGTAATACTACTAATTAGAAATCCACTGATTTTATTTCAACGAATTTAACGAAACTTTAACGTTGAATATGACATACAAAAAAACAACAACAAAAAACAAACATAATCACACACACACGCGAGCATCCAAACACCCATCCGCACGCAAGCACGCCCACAAATTCGGTCATATAATAACGTACTTTGTTGTTGTTATTATTGCTGACATACTATACGTGATTCTGCACTTGTTGACAATCAAATTGTAAATTTGAAAGCGGAAGAAAAATTTAAGACAATTAATTGAAGGTCAATCTGGATTATTTATCAACCTCAAAAATATAAATCAATATCATATAAACAACTTTATTACATAAATAAATAAGATACAAACTATAAGATAACAGAGTTTAAACCAGTGGACAAGCTTATTGTATTGAGAAAGAAGACATGGAACCGGATGACGTAAGTATAAATGAAAAGTCAGCAAAAGAATTAAACGATGATTTTCAAGAAGCTGTTTTACCAGTGACCGTCTTTGTGGGAATAGAGGTCGTAGTTGCATTTCTTGGAAATTTGTTGGTGATTTACGTGTTCTTATTTCACTATCATGTCTGCAACTTCCGGTATTTCGTGCTTTGTATGGCGTTTGTGGACTTTACAAGTAGTTTGACGACAATGCCTGGAGAGATGGTAACGCAGATGTACTGGTATATTTATTCGTATAGATTAGCCTGCAAAATTAAGTCCTTTTTGCAATATATTAACGGTTACAGCAGAAGCTTTATGTCTTCTCGTCATCGCCCTAGACCGCTACAGAAAAGTGTATACTCCTTTTTGATGGCAGATACGACCAAAGATCGCTAAAGTTTTGTGTGGTGTCATTAACTTTGTATCGTTCATCATTTCGTTTCCGGTTGCTTTCTTTTGGGGAATACATAATGCCGAACACGAATACAAGAATCAAACAGTTACAGTGACGGTGTGAAAAGGACGAGCAATATATAAGGACGAACCATCCGTTAAAATACTCACTTATAGTAGATTGTTTTATATCTACTTGCCTCTTTTTGATGTTTGTTTTGTACTTATTCGTAGCAAAGAAACCTGTCGATGGAAAACGAAGAATTTGTGGGAAATCTAGTTTTAAAATTATTGTTACCATTTCTTCAAACCAGACCGGTGCTTCTTCGGATGTCAACATGAAGAATGACATCGAGCTTAGTCCAAGACAAGAAACTAGTGATGCCGGATATTCGTCTGGCGTTGACAACAAACCAAAGAAAGCTATGTATAATTATATCTCGTCAGATGGAGGACTTACAACAGACGAGGAAAAAGAATTTACAAGTCATGTAGCGACTCTTACCGTGCCCGTTGTAGGTTCCAAAGCTGGTAATGTGTCGTTGAATAGAATAGGACAAAGTCTAGGCGGAAGCGATCTGTTGGTTTGCGGGTGCGCAGAAAGACAAAGATAATGGTAATACTAACTGTGACATTTATCATTACAACTATTTTTTTCTTGACACTTTTATCATTAATAGCCAAAATATTTTAAAGGACATGAGTGCAGAATGGAAAACAGTTTATTTCTTCTTTATTCGACTGTGTTTTATCAACCACGTGATTAACCCAATTATATAAGGGTTTCTTGATCCACATTTGAAAAAAGTGATGATACAACATAAAAACATAATCTGTGGGGAAAATAATCATTGAAAACACAAACAATAGATTGTTCCTAAAATTATAGGAATCAACTTAAACACAGGCAATTGGAGATTAGCGCCTCTTATCTTTTCGTCTTATCAGGCGCACGCACCGGCCGCCATTTGGGTCGGTAGTTTTTCCCCTGTTATATTATGCCCCAGGCAACAACAACATTTCTGTTTTGATTCAAATATATATGAATAAATATTATATATGTATATGGTCGCAGGAGTTGAAGTTTTAACTGCTGGTTATTTTGAATGGTCAATGGTCTTCGCATGGTATTACATTCAATGATACACCCATCATTAAATTCAATCAATTGTTCAGGTAATGCATGCTGTTTGATATCATGTATTGTTTATGACAGGAGTTAAGATTGTGACAAAATGTGTGAATATGATTTAATTTAAAAATAAAGTTTTTTATTATCATTTCTTGAAAAAAATGTTATTTTTCTTTTAATTAAATTTCCTTTTAAAGTCCCATTTTCAAAAAAAAAAAAAAATGAAATATGTGCCATTTTAGTTTCATTTAGAGTAAAATAAAGATTACTTCTCAAAATTTGACTAAAATCTATTTTATGATCACATCCGTGTTATTTGTGCCGTGTGGCGGCTGTAAAAAGTCTCCCCGTACATTTAATCAATGATGTTATATTTTCGATCCTTGAAGATCGTTCAGCACGACATTATTGTTGTGCTTGTGGTATTTTTAGTTTCAACTTTTCGGCATTTTCTAGTTGGGTGGTTCCAATATTCCTACTTGAATAATGTTGAATCACCCTTAGGATATGTTGCCTGCTTTTTAAATTTGTCTTTTGACGTCTTATCTGTGATACGCAGGCTTCATAACCTCTGATCCCCTTTCAAAATTCCATTTTATTTAGTTCCGCCCATTGTTTTCTCGTTTAGGGCACACGCTTTTTATTACTTGGGGACCATACGCCGCTTTTCATGGAATGGCACGGAAGTGTCACATTGAAGGTTCCATGATAACCACCGTATGAACACATCTGCGGATGTTTCTAAATTCAAAATTTTACTTTTTCATGTTTAAATGTTGAATTCTGCTTAAGCCGGTGCTAGGGGGCGTGGACGGTAACTTGCACTTTCCAGTACCGTCCATGAACAGGCTCAATCAAACCGAGCCTGCAACATTTTCAATTTTGCCGTGTTGGGCTTTCTTTAGGGATTCTGTATTTATCTATTTTTTGGAAACTAATGAATTTGCCTCTGAACATCAACCTACAAACGATAGAGTGACAATCAGTTGATAAATAGCAGAAAACTGCTTTAAGTAAAGCTTAAAATATCTTCTAACTACAGTGCAAGTAGCGTTATGAATTTATTTATTTGAGCAGGTGTCAAGTGCTGTGTGGCAGCTGCAAAAAGTTGTCCCGTACTTCTTTTCAGTGTTGTTATATTTTTTCTGGTCCTTCTGGATCATTGATGACAGCACTATTTAGTGTTGAGCATTGAATTCCGCTCAACCACTGCTAGGGTCGTGCGGGATTCATTATCCCTCATGTACAGACTCAATCAAACCGAGCCTGCAATTCTCTTGTAATTTTGTTGTGATTTATGCTTCCGAGGGTCTTTGTTTCCAGATTTTTAGCAAAAATGCATGCAAAGTGTGATTTCTTTTTTTTTATAATTTAGGTTATATCAGGATATTTCATTTCTTGGAGAGGTACCTCACAGGATGAATGCAAACAACTGTGCAAATAAAAATTAACATTTGTATGCGAACCTAATTATAGACAGAGCTATCAATACACTCGGGTTTTTGAGAAATCTATGTTACCTAATAAAAATAAAAGTTAAAAAAAATCACAAATTGCCTTTTTCAGAACTTTAATTATGGTTCCAATCAATGAATCATTTCTCAATGCCTTGGACGAAAATTTTGTTTTTGTTACACTACTTTTGAACACTTTTTTAAAGACTGAATTGATAAAATTTACAAGTTTGAAATAGTCCACACAAATCCTTCGTAAAATACATAAATCTGGCAATGTTCATAAAATGTTGATCCTTTTAAAATTTCTATCTTAAAGAGAACGTATTTAGTTATATAAGTTATATAGTTATGTAAATGGAACAGAAGAGGACCTTTCAATCATAATGTTTTGGCTCACTATTACACTCAAGATGCAATTCGTTACACGAACATAATTGCGTTCTGAGATCAACCCAGGTCAAAAGCCTTAAATATAAGATTCGAAAACCTTACACATATTGAACGAAATTGACAATCGTTATTAAAAACGATTCTGAAATCAAGCTAACTACAATATTAGTTAAAAGCATTTAAAACGCTTTCATTTTTAGACTAATAATGAAAATGGTTATTTTGGAAAAAAGAGGGTGAGCGATCGTCTCAAAATTTCTGTACAGAAGATATTTTTTATAGACCTACGACATTGTAAAAATCACGAAAAATATTCCCGATACGATTATGTCTAAGAGCCTCATTGTAGTCCCCTTTAAGTAGATATTTTAAGTGACACATATTTCAACGCTGATCAAACTTCCGAAGAACACACATTTAAGTTTGGTAGTACTTAAGTTTTATCAATTGCGTAATCACAGTTCATATGACCAAAACGTTCCGAATGACCTACCAACGTTTCCGTTATCTCTTTTTTATCTTTGACAAAAGCTAAATATTTCATTTATTAAACTAAGTGAAAACAATCCAGGACAATGGACTATTTGATAGTAAAATTATTTGTAAGTAATGTCCTAATTTAAACTGATGTCGGCATTTAGTTTTAAAATTTACGTCAGTATTTAAAGAATATTTAATACTTTCTTAAGTACAACATCTTACAGGACTCTTTAATTTTCCCTCTTTGTTAAGACAATTATCTATTTTATATTTGAAGTACTTGTATATTTATCCTTTACCCTTCTGTCGGCAACTGAGTCTTCTACCCATGCGACCAGTTCTGACCAAGAACAACGGCACATCCAAGCCATCTGACCATGTTCGCTTTTCAGGCGGTACCTATACTCTGACATTTTGCCTACAATTGATAAATGGTAATGTGATTTCCAGCTTGAGATATTGAGCGTTGTAAGGGTTAAGGAAAGTCTTAACTGAATGTTTTAGTGTCAAAATTTGTATCAAACCATACATAAGAATGAACAAAAATGAATCAATGAAAACATAATAATACTAAAAAAATGAATAAATGACAAAATGATTTCGAAACAATTATTGGTTTTTGACTTTATTATAACATGATTTTAAATTCTCCAGTAAGTTACTTTATATTTCAAAAGGCTGTTTTAGATTATATTTTTAATATAAATTGAGGTTTGGGCATGCTCAAACTGCTAGATAGCTAGATTACGAAAACGTTAAATACTACTGAATGTTAGAATAAGTGAAATAAATATTTTTCGTATCTCAGCTGTTCGCAGCAGTTGTTTCTTTGGTTAATGGACAAACAGACAGAAATTGTACGAGTACATGTAAGTAAACAAATACCACCTTAAACACATCCTGTAACACATTTTTTATGGTTTTATATAAAAAAATATTATGCTCAAATAAAGACTTATCAATAATGTAGGTTCCAAAAAGCATTATTTGTAAAAAAGATATTACCTAATTTACATTTTTATGTTAATAAAGGGAGGTAATTTGAAATTCATTTACTATAAAGTCCAAGTCAAATTTTTCAATAGGAAATGAATGCGTATACTTTAATGATTACATACAATGTGGACAAATATTTGCTGTACGTATTTTACATATTCTTCGATGTTTGAAAATTGTTTTAGAAGCATAATTATAAACATAAATAAAATTTCCCTTAAGTGTGGTAACAACAGTTAGTACAACATACAGGATCTTTAAGTTGACAGATTCACTCCTTTTAAATGCACGTTATTTAAGCAATATCAGACATGTAACTTTGTAACAAAATTAGATCCCATTTATAATGTAACTCAATTTGTTATTTTACAAAAATGAATGTAGATATTATAAATCAAGCATCTTTATTTTAAAATTATTTTCGAATATTTCTTTTAAACGGTCAACAAAATCAATTATAAAAAATATGTGTACCTGAATCATACCATAGAATAAAACACTCATCGAATACTTGATGCCAACACTATTTGAAGTAATTCTTAATGTCATTCAATATGTACTGGAAAGCTTTTTTAGTATGTGAATGGTTATTATGAGACAATGATCAATAAAATCTTATTTTCTATTTCAAAAGCTTCAACCGGAAAGCACTTCATGATTGCGGTGCCAGAAAGTAGCACCAGACCAGATAAAATTGTTTTTCACATAACCTCTGCTGTAAACAAGACAAAATGCACCATCAAAGCACCGGATGTACATTTTGTTCAAACCTACACCTTTGAAAGTTATATCCAAGTTAACTTGTCCTACAGAATAATGCAAGTTTCTTCTTCATCGTCCTTGACCGATAGAAAAGGAATAAAAATAAGTTGTGACCATGCATGCGCTGTACATGTTTTACCACACAGTTCCAATGATGCAGTGGAAGGTTTTCTTGCACTTCCGGTTAACGCCTTAGGTACAAGATATGTTATTTCATCTTACACACCGTACACATCCAATACACCTAGCGAATTTGTAATAGCAGTTGTTGAAAATAATACAAGAATCCAACTGTCTAAGAAAATATACTATAACGGATATAGCAATAGTTCTTTAACATTGAACGAATTCGACACATATATTTACAAGAACTCACGTGACCTGAGCGATTCAGTGATTTCTAGTGATAAACCTATATCCGTCTTCTCAGCGTCTAGCGCTAGCCAAGTGCCCCATGGCACAGGAGATTATCAATACATCGTGGAACAGATGATTCCAACCGAGTTTTGGGCGAAGACCTATATTGTTCCACACATTTATCCTAGAAAGTATAGTATGTATCGTATTTATGGTACTGAGTACAATACATCAATAACACGTCACAACGGTAACATCACCGGATCTACTGTAATTACCTCAAAGCATTTTGAAAACATGGCGTCTGATACAACTGTGATTAAAGCTGATAAAGCTATCAGTGTAATACAATATGGTTATGATGATGATGATATGGATGGGGACCCGTTCATGACGACAGTTCAAGCAGTATCACAATTTCAAAACTCTTACGAATTTGTGACAGATTTTGATAAAATGAATACTATACCATGGCCGGTCACACTTGTTATTACCGCTCGTACTACAGACATTTCCGAAATATTTCTGGACGGAAGTAACTCGTACATTCAAGCACATAGTCACATTATGTCTGTACCTCCACCCATGGATGACTTCAATGTTTACTACATCAACATGACTTATAAAGTCTTTGGCAGTTTCCATACATTACGCCACGCATCCGGGAAGCCATTTGGTGCAACTATCTACAGTTTACCAGGAACTGCTGCTGCCTATGGATATCCTTTACAGTTTGCCCTGAAAGATCAAGGTAAGTAAAATGTATAATATATGGTATCGCTTGTAGTTTTTACAGTAATGTTTCCTTTTCTATAAAGACTAAATTCCTCAGTCATTTTGCTTCTGAGTTGGTTTATGTCAACTATTAGTTTGGAAACATATCTCCTCTTTCATCATTATAAAGTTTTACTCTTTCTTTATATTTGCTAAGATAAATGCTAGAAAATGCTAGATTTTCTGTGTATGATAAAACACTTAAAGTAATCGCCCAATGTTCGAAATATTTCTGCACACATTACGTTGTAACTAAAGCTATACAAATTAAGAATGCATTGTTACTTTTAAATGAAACTGATTAAAGCGTTCGATTTCTTTTAGTTTGTCAAATTCCAACAACCACGTCAACAACAACTACGACGACGACGACAACAACAACAACAACAACTACTACAACGACCTCACCTCCGACAACAAAGCCAACGACGACGACGATGACAACAACAGCGGTTTTTGCAACAACAACATCGAAAACACAAATTACTTATAATACTACACAAAGCACAGGTGATAATAAGAGTTCCTAAAGAACATTCAAAACGGCATTATTAAAATATTGCAGACGCTCGGTTTGACTGAGCCTTTTTTTGGACGATACTGAAACATGCCTTAAAGAAACATTCAACATATAACACGAAGTGTTGAAATTTTAAATCAGTTGTCATGAAACTTCCAAAACTTCTAAGGACAAACGTCAGTGCCATTCCGTGCAAAGAGTACTATTCAAATTTTGCTCAGCACCAAACGTTTCTAACTATATTATGAACATTAGAAGAAGGATTCAGTTATTTATTTTGCATATTAGTTTGATGAGAAAACTCAATACATACTCGTTTTCGGGTGTTTTTTAGTTTGGGCAGAGACAAATAATTGTCCTTATAAACCTATGTTACAAATTCATGGTCATTCAAAGGTCAGACATTATTATATTGGTCACTTTGACATGGCAAACGTTATCAATTGCATAATATCACGGTCCATGAGTGAGGCAGAGATGTGGAGGCATGAAGGATCCTGGATCAGGGGGCACACGCTTTGAGGTTGGTATGGCACCAAACCATTTTCACCAGAACTGGGCAATATATCAGCAATATGATACACCAGTGATGAGGTATTGGGGAGGTAGACAAAGGCAAATACAGCAATTCAAGACATGTTCTTGATTATACCGTCCATCATCGAGGATGGTTTGCAATAGAAACTCATCTTTGTAATGACCTTTTAAAATTTTCTGAGGCCAATTTTTTGTACTCAATGGTGCATTGAAGGTTTCACGAGGAGAATCTTCGATAAAAACATATTGCTGAGCACGATCGCTACGTGGTGGATGTTGGGATCAGTTATGGTGTGGGTGGTATCAGCTGGGACAGACGGACTGACCTTGTCGTGCTAAATAAAGACTGGTTAGCAAAGCATACACGATATGTAAGATACACAGATTAGACTGTATACCGCAGCAGTGGACGAACGATCACCTCATTTTAATGGACGATAATGCGGATTGTCCGGGACTACTAGCAGAGCGCCTTGACTGGCACAGTCTATGACCTAAATCTTATGGATCACATGTACGGTTATCGGCTTAACAGGTACAACCCAGAAACATCTAGGAGCTTGAGACGATGCTGGTGCAAGAATGGTTAGAAACCTAATAGTTTGCATGAGATGTATTTGTCACGCAGTTATTTCGAGTAATTGACCACACACATGCTATTGAGTCAGATTATTCTTCGATAAAACTGATTAAACATGCGATTGAAATTCAAATTCATTGCCGAAAATACTCACACTTAAACTTTGGTGCTAAGCAAACGTTGAATAGTATATTTGTAATTTGTGTAATTATTCTTAAGGTAAAGCCAGGAAATGGTAACATTAACAGCAACAAATATAAAGTCGTCGTTTGAATTTTGAATTGCCTTCATGAATGTAAATCATTCATTAGATAATAATGTATACACATTTGTCTTTCAATAACGGTATTTGTATTATAATTATGATGTTTAATTTCGAATTGTTTCTTTTTTAGGCGGAATCCAGTGTTTTGACTGTCGTGACATTCCACATCTAAGATATTGTGACAAAGTAAGCAGGTGCTCAGGAAATGAGGTAAAACATTACATTTATTTTTAACGATAGCTTCAGTGGTGTTTTAACTATACCACCGATCGAAATAGATAACATTGAAACCTTTCAGTTGGCCAAACAGGTATAAAATGCTACAGCTTCGGTGTGATTGAGTCTCTTCATGGATTGTAGAGATGAACGTTAATTAGCGTTAATGCCTTTGGCACCGGCTTTGTCTGCTTACCTTAATAGGACAGCATCAGATAAATAATGATTATAAAATAAATAATGATAGATAAATTATTTATCAATACAAATAAAGCAAATATCAATCCTTTACATTACAATACATTTAGTTAGGTAAAATTTAAATCGTATGGCTCATTCCTGATAACGAGATATGAATAAAAAGTGAATATTCTGTTGCACGAAATTCTTTAAGTTTTGCATGCACTTTAATTTTGCAAGCTGTATTAAATAACTGAACAAATACTTATTACGACACCGATTGCGAGGATTGTCTTCATCACAAGAGTTCATTTCATCATGTCTCATTATACTATTTCTAAGAAATTATTCCGTTTTGTACTTTTATCAGTACATATTTATTGAAATAAACAATATCTTTTAAAATTTCTGTTACACCTAGGTTTGTTACGTTGAGAGCTACACAAAACCTCATGGGCAAAAAATGTTCAGGTCTGGATGTATAGACAAGGGGGTATGTACATCTGTACAAATAAGTATATAGGTTCATCTTGATGTATTAATAATCAAAATAGGTATATATTGATGATAAGCGTATGGTGTGTAAAAAAGAAGGTACGTCTGAATATAAGAATATAGGTTAGGTGCATAATATTGTATTACTCAGTAATAATATACACCCGGGCCTATCAATAAGGAGGTATGTACATGTGACTTTATTATTTAACGGTAGGTACATCTTGATGTATAAATACAATGACACGTGTATCTAGGCGTATACATATTAAGGGAGCCTTGATAAAATCCTCAATTCTTGTTTTGCCCTATAATCATGAAAAATGAGGACTTGTAGACAATTTCCTTTTTTGAACTCTACATGATTTTAAAATATGTTGTTTGTAAAACTTATTCTAATGTCAAAAGTTTTTTTAATCATGTCTGTGCGGTGACAGAAAATTTGTTTTGCATCTGTTGACAGGGATGTCAACCATTGAGTGGAACAAACGACTGCCTACAGTGTTGTGAATCTAGAGACTTCTGTAACATGGATGGTTGTGAAGAAGAAGGTTGCCTGTTTTTACACTACTCAATGCTCTTTTCCATTCTTGGCTAACATACATTTCAGAAACCGAGTTCTTCATTCTACATTTAATGTCCGAAAGATTTGGACAACTAAATCGGAATGTATCTAGTTTGAAACCAGTTTTCCTAGTGGCGACAATTCTTGTTTCTGCTCCCCTGTCTTGTTTATTGTTAGAAATAACTTTGCGTGTACTTCACAATTTGGCCATGCTTATTATCCCCCGCCGAAAGGCGGTGTGGGATATAGAAATAGTATTCGTCCGTCTGCACTCACAGGAGAGTAATTATGTGGCTAGAGGGACAATAGGTAACTGTTCTTTCTCTTTGATGTCATTCATTCCGTAATGATTTTATGTGGCTATTTTCTTTTGTGTGGCTAAAAAGAACAATAGGGAGAACAATTGAGTAGCCACATAATTACTGTCCTGTGAGAACTTCCGTCCGACCATACGTCCTACCGTCCGTCCATCCTTCCGTCCGACATTTTTGTCCGGAGCATATCTCAAAAAGTATTTGATGTATCAACTTGAAACTTCATAGGTGGATAGATCATATTGAAAAGGAGTGCAGTGCACAGGAATGATAACTCCACCCTTTATTATTTTTGAGTTATTGCCCTTTGTTATTTTTCAAACTTAATTTTTGTCCAGAGCATAACTCAAAAAGCCTTTGAGATATCAACATGAAACTTCATAGGTCAGGAGGTGTGCAGTGCACAAGAATGATAACTCTACTTTTTATAATTTTTTAGTTATTGCCCTTTGTTATGTTTCATACTTAATCTTTCCCCTGAGTGGAGCATTACTTAAAAGTCTTTGAGATGTCAACATGAAACTTCAGAGGTAGATAGATCTTATTGAGGAGGAATGATGTGTGCAAGAATAATAACTCTTCCCCTTCATAATTTTTGAGTTATGCCCTTTGTTATTTTTCATACTTTTTGTCCGGAGCTTATCTCAAAAAGTGTTAGAGGTATCAACTTGAAACTTCATAGGTGGATATATCATATTGAGGAGGAGTGCAGTGCACAAGAATGATAATTTACCTGCATAATGTTTGAGTTATTGCCCTTTGTTATTTTTCAAACTTAATTTTTGTCCAGAGCATAACTCAAAAAAGGCTTTGAGATATCTACATGAAACTTCATAGGTACATAGATCTCACTTAGGAGGTGTGCAGTGCACAAGGATGATAACTCTACCCTTCATAATTTTTGAGTTATTGCCCTTTGTTATTTTTCATACTTGATTATTTTTCACCTGAGTGGAGCATAACTCAAAAAGTCTTTGAGATGTCAACATGAAACTTCAGAGGTGGATATATCTTATTGAGGAGGAATGCTGTGTGCAAGAATGATAACTCTTCCCTTAATAATTCTTGAGTTATTGCCCTTTGATATTTTTCATACTTTTTGTTCGGAGCTTATCTCAAAAAGTGTTAGAGGTATCAACTTGAAACTTCATAGGTGGATAGATCTTATTGAGGAGGAGTGCAGCACACAAGAATGATAGCCTACCCTGCATTATTTTTCAGTTATTGTCCTTTGTTATTTTCAGCCATCAGTATTCATATAGGTTTCAATAGCTTTAATCACTCCAGCCATAAGTTTTGATTAACAAAAGACCCCTTAAAATTGAATTATTCTGCTCTACAACATATATATTCTTCAAAAGGGCAAACACATTCGGCGAGGGATGGCCATGATAACATGGCTCTTGAATTTGTTTTGTAATCGCAGTAACAAAAGTGTCATTAAAAAGTAATTAAAATGCAAATAACATTATGATTTATTAGATCAATTATTTATCAATGTAATCTAAATAATGACCAAAATCGAAACATACTTCGAAGGTAACGACGACAATCGCAAGTGCATAACTTGAATACTGAACATTTTCCTAAATGTACTACAGAAATAACGATCATAATTGTACTACTACGATACGTTTATTAAACAAGACTTATTCTTTGTTTTATCTTTAAGCTCAAAGTTCAATAAGTTCAGGGACTCGTGGGCCGTATTGTTACGACTGTTCACATATCGGAGAGAATGAAAAATGCACATCCGTTCAAATGTGTCCATCCGACCAGGTAATGTTTTGTATATATTATTCAGCAAAATTTCATGGGATATTATTCAAACGACTTCAAATGACTTCGAGATCTTATAAAATGGCTGTATTATGTTACAAGAATTGTATTGATACATTGTTCAAAGCTAATATTATAAATTAGATAATTACGGTTCAATTCTTATGTAATACAACTTTTTTGACACAAAACCTATTACTTTCTTTTAAGTTTTGAAAATTTGAAATATATTTCCGTTAATGAATAAAGAAATTCGTTTATATTTCATGCAACCACCTGATAAACAGACATCATTGTCTTACGACTGTGGGATACAATATTAGTCTGACCACTGTTGATTTTGCTTGTTTAAAATACATTCCATAAAATTATGCTTTTCCAAAAACATTTTTGTCGTGGCCAATTTTTTCCTCAGCAACTAATTTAAATAATTTATAAGGCGATACGTTTGCCTGTCTAGCTGGACAAACAATTAATTACTGTCAACCGGAATAAGGTGACTATTGAGAAATATGACATCATCAATGTAAAAACTTTACCCAAGCCAAATAGAAATTTATGACCTAAGTCTAAGTAAATCATATAATAGCTTTAATACTTATAACGGATGTCTTAACCTTTTTCAGGTGTGCATGATAGAGAAGTACGCATGGGGAAACAATGACTTCAACTACGTTATGGGATGTATACGTCCACATGTAATTCGTTTTCTTCTCAATCATACTTGCATATATTTTAGATACTTTTGTAAGCTACCGTAAAGTTTAAGTTATAAATAACATCACCAGTCTGTAACGTCAAAAAACATACTGTCCCATAGAAACACCAACCATTTGTTAAGAGGTTGTACATGGTTCTATCTGCCAGAAGAATTACAAAATGCATATTTCTTTTAATTTGCATATTTCATTAATTAAGAAAAATTCTCCTCTTTCATCGACTCATCCACTACAAAATATATATTGTAGAATCTTGCTGTTTTGCAGTTAATTTTAGCACTTTACGTAAGTATCTTGCATTTTCACTGCCTCATTTAATAATGATGTTTTCAGCTAACTTGACGTTCTATTCAATATCACATGTACGTGAACATAGTGCTATATTTTTGCACCTCTGCTCACAGGTTTGCGAAGCAAAGAAACGCTCAGTGTTAGACCGGAAGTTGACAGCTCGCCACGCTCCAGTTTGTACACATTGCTGCTCCACTGATTTCTGCAACCAAAATTGCACGCATCATTACAGTCCAGGACTTATTGGTACATTTTGTTCAAAACATTACACACAGTTCAATCTTACTCTTTAGAAATTTAAAAGGCAAATAACCGAAAGATGAATATATCATTTTAAAGATCAAAATTCAGAAAGTAACCTTATTTTGTCTATCTTGTACAATATTTAGTTAATTATTCACTGATTTCACATAATTGTATTGAAATTGGAAAGTATTTAATTTAATAAGGGTATCTAAAGTTGTCTTTTATAGAAAATTTAAGTTTGTAACTTTTGATAGTATCTACTTTTAATAACCTATTTTGTTTATTTTGTAGGTTAACAGAGCATTTTGCAATTAACTTGCCATCGATTTGTCTTACTGTTAGTGGTTGAGTGTCGACTTAAATAAAATGTAACAAGAAAATGGTTTACTGATATATAATTGTAAGACAGTGATTTTTTGTGCATATCAAAGACCTTTGCACAAACGGATAAGACGAACACCAAGTCCACCAAGTTGAGTTTTCTTTGCCTTACAGAACCACTTCGATCTGCTTATAAAGTGTTTAGCAATAACATTTATATATATATAAATATATTTGGTTCACCAAAGAGAGTCATTGCAATTGGCCGTGCAAAAGCCACTTTGTTAAGTATCCAAAATCGAAAAACATCGTTTTCTTTCCATCCGTACAAAGTAATTATTTTATGAGATTGTGAACGTGGTAAAAATACTTGCTTGCATATCAGAGTGATGCTCATTTTTAAATAAGTTGGCATTTGAAATGTTATTTGAAAGGTTAAGATGTCTCACAAAGAAGTTGACCATGATTCATATCTAGTTTTCTATACATGTATTTGATTTGAGCACAAATGAGATTGCTGACTAAAAAATATAATATTTTGAAATAATTTGTTCATCATGTCTGACGTATTGAGTTTAGGAAAATGCATTTTTATGTTGGCACCAATGGTCTAGCACCCTGATATGTATAGAAGACTTCAAAGCATTTGAGTCACAGCTTTTTATGAATATATTTAAACAAACAGACATTAGCAAAAACTGATTTGATAAATGCTTAGTTTTAATCCTGTTTTAGTTATAATCGAAGCGGTCGCTGGTCGCGTTGAGCAAAAGTCGCTTAATGCATTAAAGATATAGAGAGAAAATGATCGGGGGGATTTAAAGTGGTCGCATAAAACAAAAGTCGCTTAATACACGTGGTCGTATGGGCAAGTTAGACTGAAGGTCACGCCGCTGCACTATCGGCAATGAAACAAATATGTCTTTTTGATACGGAAAAATTACCCACTTAGGCCTACCAGCAACATATCATCAAAAATCATCTCGAGAAAGAGTGATCTCTCGGAAGCATAAATCACAACTTAATAACATGACAGTTGCAGACACGGTTTGATTTAGTATGTACATTTGTGATAATGAAGGAGTACAACATCATTCACGCTCTCTATCGCCGGCTTGAGCGGTACTCAATTTTCAACTCTTAAAAATGATGGTATAAATGATCCTGGAGGACCAGAAAAATACAACAAAACTGTCTTGAATACGTATCACATACAATTTGAGAGATAAGAATTGATCTCCATTCATTTTTATACAACACCTGTCTATGGGAAAAGTTTTGTATTTCCAAATTTTGAAACGTAAATTTAAATAAAATGCGTTATCATTGCCTTAATTTCAAAACTGTCCTTCGTTGTTCATTATCTCTCCGTTTATCTCAAACATTAATATTTCATTTATGGATCATAGTGACAATGGTTTAGGACAATGAACTACTTAACAGTGAAAATATGTGTGAGTTACAATCCAATTTTAAACTCAGGAATATATCTTGAAGTTTGTTTTTAGATCGATGATCCAATCTTGTTAAGACGAATTAGTGATAATTTTGACACAAATTCTGTTTTTCAAGGCAATAAATTTGCTAATAAAACAACGATGACACAAGGCTTCATTACATTATTGTGTCAAGTTCAATCCTCTTTTTTGTTTTCAGTACAGACATGTGACGCACAAGGAAATATTAAGTTGATATTATAAACTAAACTTGATTATACAGGTGAATGTGAGACGCAAGCAAATATTTGTCGAATAAGTAACAAAATATTTCGTTTGAATGTTTGCTTGATAGAATAACAGTTTTATCATTTGTTTTTATATGTTAACGTTAAAAATCTAAATGGAAAAAGATCGGTTTTGATTGCAAAACTGAGTATTCAGCTTCTCTGGAGTATAAATGGCAGTTCACAGTTTACGGGATCGAAATATAACAAACAACAACATCAACAATTATATATACATGTATATATACACACACAGATATTCTAGTTGTATCTGCATAAAAACGTATGATATTGTATTGTTTCAGCTGTATTTGACAGCTTGTACTTTGGTTTATGGCCAAGGAAACAGGAATTGTACGAGTACATGTAAGTACAAAAAATACTTCCATTCGCTAGTGGTCGAAATAAGTCTGTTAATGTTCTACATGAACATCATTTAAACGATGTTATAGCTTCTTGTTTTCGTTATAACATTCCTTTTTCCTTTTATAGAAAAACGCCATTTGTAATATAACCACACACAGAATAACAACATTATTTTAAAGTCGATGCGTAAGAATCGCATTTTATAAAATATAATTTTTATATTTTTCTAGAGAATTTTGTCTCTATTTTAACATTACTCAATCCAAGAATTGACGAGTGTAAATGGGGCGTTCGTGGTAGAGTGCTTAATGTCGTTGACTTCAAATCACTTGCCCTTGCAGCTGTGGGTTCGAATTCCAACAGGGTCTTTGGATTCTTTTATGTGACAAAAAAATACGAGTGAAAAGGACATGGATAATGCTTTAATATTCATAAGCTCATTGATCAATAAAACACATTTTGTCTAAATTCTAGCTTCAACTGGAAAACACTTCATGATTGCGGTGCCGGAAAGTAGCAGGCCTCCAGATAAAATAGTTCTACATATAACATCTTTAAACAAGACAAAATGCAACATCAAAGCACCAGATATACATATGGATCAAACCTACACATTTAACAATTATATACAAGTCAACATATCCAACAGAATAATGCACTCTACTTCTTACTCGTCCTCCACGGCTAAGAAAGGAATAAAAATAGATTGTGACAATACATGCGCAGTAGCTGTTTTGCCTCACCATATAAATGATGCAGTGGAAGGTTATCTTGCACTTCCTGTAAATGCCTTAGGAACAAGATATACAATTTCATCTTTCACACCATACAGTTCAAGTACCTCAAGCGAGTTCCTGATAGCAGTTGTTGAAAATAATACAAGAATCCAACTGTTTAAGACAAGCCCTTATACTAACAGATTTCAAAATAGTACTTTAATTCTTAACAAATTTAACACGTATATTTACAAGTCCTCTTATGACCTGAGTGATTCGGTGATTTCTAGTGATAAACCTATATCCGTCTTCTCAGGAGCTAGCGCTAGCCAAATCCCTCATGGCTCGGGAGATTATCAATACATCATAGAGCAGATGATTCCAACTGAGTTCTGGGCGAAGACCTATATTGTTCCACATATTTATCCTAGAGTGTACAGTATGTATCGTATTTTTAGCTCTGAGTACAATACGTCAGTTACACGTCATAACGGTAATGTCACTGTATCTAATGTGATAATGTCAAAGCATTTTGACGACATGGCGACTGATTCAACTGTGATTATAGCTGATAAACCTATCAGTGTGATACAATATGGTTATCATGATGATAATGTGGATAAAGACCCATTCATGACAACAGTACAAGCTATGTCCCAATTTCAAAATTCATACGAATTTGTGGCAGATTTTGATAAAATGAGTTCTCAAATATGGCCCGTAACTCTGGTTATTACCACTCGCACTTCAGAAATTTCACAAGTTCTCCTAGACGGTACAAATTCCTACATTCAAGCACATAGTCACAAAATGCCTGTACCTCCACCCATGGATGACTACAGCGTGTACTACATCAATATGACTCATTATGTCTTTGGAAGTTTTCATACGTTACGTCATGCAGCCGGGAGACCATTCGGTGCAACAATCTACAGCCAGCCAGAATCTGCTGCTGGTGCCTACGGATATCCTTTAAAATTCGCCCTGAATGATCAAGGTAACATAATTGTGTTATATGTAATAAAAGAACGTGTTGTCGCTCACACACTATTGATTTTTCCTTTTCTATACCATAAAAATCCTAAGTCAATTCGTTAATGATTTGGCGCATGCATTTTCTTTTCAATGACACATCTATTCATTTGTTATAATTAAGTTTCCTTCATCATTCTTTTATTGATAAGATTTATTCTGACAACAAATATATGATGAGAACTATAAGTTATATTTAAAAGCTTGAAACTTGTACACATGCAGAGCTCTGTATCTAATCTGTTATGCAGTGTAAAGATCTCTTTATAAAACGCATAAAGCTTATCTTTTTCAAGTTTGTCAACTCCCAACAACTACCTCAACAACAACAACGACAACAACAACAACTACTACAACGATTCCAACAACAACAACAGCAAAGGCTACTTTTGCGACAACAAACTTTCGAGACAACACTACGTACAGCAAAGGTAACATGGTTAATATGTTATGTTAAAGTCTTGAGTTTTTCCCCAAAAAACACTCGGATGTTTGACAGCCCTGATTTGCTTCTCATAATTAAATATCAACATTAAGTGATCAATTATATTTCCATTTTTATTTAAATTGTTTTTGTTTTTGAATTTTAAGGCCGGTGGTTATTTGATATAAAGGGCAAATTTGCCAAATGTATTTGAGTTGAAAGATAATTTCTTTAGAGAAATGCTGTTTCTACATTTCTTGTGAGTGTAAAACATTCTAGTTTTACTTAAAGCGTTTAGAATGGGAATATATATTTTTAGACCGTTGTTTGTTGATCTCAAGAAAACGGAAGAAACAGACACTTGAATACGACAACAATATGCCATTTTGTATTCCTATGGTTATATACATTTTGATGCAAATCAAGTTTTTCAATTTTAGTACTATCTCTTAGCAACAGAAAAAATCACTGATAGTAAACAAAATTCGATTTTAATTTTAGTATGCCAGTAAAACTTTAAATGTTGAAAGATACGAAATAATAGCACATTTATTTATGCGAAATTCAGCGAAGGGCTTATTAACTATTTATATTTCTTTGAAATAACCTGCTTTTATGTTAGATTGAATATGAAGGATGCTTTTGATTTTAATTATTTCTATTTTATGTACTACATTTTATGTTGTAATGAATTGCGAAACACTGATGAAGAATTATTTGTCGATCATAAAAGAAATTACATTATTTTAGGTGGTATACAGTGTTTTGATTGTCGAGATATTCCACATCTAAAATATTGTGACAAAGTGACTAGATGCTTAGGAAATGAGGTAAACATAACCTTAGCAGCAGTTATGACTTCTCTATGCCTCCAATATAGAATGGAAATAATAAAAATAGGATCTTATAACTAAGGCCACTAAATAGGGCAACGCATTTAAAACGTTGCAGGCTCACATAGATTGAGTCTGTTTCATGCAAATCAGGCTCATTCACTCTCAACAATGCTATGATTTTCATTTTTCAAAAGCTTCTCATATTTGGTGTATAGTTACATTTTCCAAAAAGTTACTTACTTATCAGTCACAAGAGCCATATTTTACTTCTTTTGCGTTTAGACCATTAGTCAACATAAATTGAATTGTATTTTGTATGGAATCATAAAACCACTTTGTATCTTTATAGATAAAATATTTCACACTTGTATATATTAGCATGTCTCACAAATTCTCAGCCCATTATTACAACATTATAAAACATATGTTTGTTCTTTGTATAGGAGAAATAATTCATTCATTTCTTTAAGACTTAAGGAGTCTTTTAATGTCTCCATACACTTTATAGTTGCATGTAACATAAAATAGAATGTTTTAAGTTTATAATAACCCTGACTTTGTCCTTACAAACACAATGCCAATATTGATTAAAAGTCTCCACTTCCATGACATTTGGTCATACTATTTCTCAATCTCAATACAAGCACTTTAAATATTGTCTCTAAGTGTATCAGTACATATGATTATATTCATTTTAATTTCATTCGAAACAAAGGTTTGTTACGTTGAGAGCTACACAAAACCTCACGGACAGAAAATGTTCAGGTCTGGATGTATAGATAAGGGGGTAGGTACATCTGTATTAAAAGGTAGGTACATCTGTATAAAAAGGTAGGTACATCTGGATCTATCAATATGGGATATGTATATCTGCATGTATAACATATGGATGTAAAAATAAGATTCAACAAAGGCAACCTGAAGGTTCACCTTGATGTGTAACAACTGTATGTGTAAATAAGAAGGTAGATACATTTTGATGTATAAGTATGAAGGACGGTTCGTTAGATAGGTGTCTAAATATTGAGGTAAGTGCATCTGAACGTGTAAAAAGTAATTAGGTACACTTGTGATACAAATCTGGACAAAATGTGGATAAGTCTTAATAAAATTAACAATTGTTGATTAAATTTGCATCTGTAATCATAATAAATACAGGCTCCTAGTTGTTGACAATTTCCATTCTTGAAGGTTAATAAAATGCATTGTAAGGAAGTAATGTATTTTATGTGAGATGTTTTAAAGTGTCTGCACGTGACAAATAATTTTTTTGCATTTGTTACCAGGGATGTCAACCATTGAGTGGAACAAACGACTGTCTACAGTGCTGTGAGTCTAGAGATTTCTGTAACATGGATGGTTGTGAAGAAGAAGGTGTCCTGTTTTTACACTACTCAATGTTCATTTTGCCCTTTGCTCATACATTTCGTAACACCGAATTTTACAAAACTATCCCCATTAAGTACAATCAACCAAGCTTGTTTGAAGGTTTTTCATGCTGATGTCATTGTTTGGCATCTTCGTCTTGTTAATTTTAAAGCAAATTTGTCAATAATGGAAGGTCTGTGAAACAATAAAAAATTGTGATAAATTATCAGATGTGATACGTGACGGATTAAACATACTGAATACAAGACCATATTGTCGGTATTCTCATTAAGACTGTTGAAAAAATATCAATAAACGCTAAATTACCTACCATAATCCAAGTTCAAAATACGAAATAAATACGATTGGTTTCAACGAGGTACGTTTATAACGTTCACTTTGCTAAGTCCTGGCCATTTCTCTGTCATTTAAATAAATCACGGTGCGTAATCGTTTTGGGTTGATTTAAAATCTATTCGTTCCTGAACTGATTTGAATTAATTTCACCGGATTGATTAAGATAAATTGGATTGTGAGCTTGACAATGTAAGAAAATATATAACATAAACATATTTACTACTGATAGTCTTCGAATATTCTACGTGCACGGAACATTGCAATGTTTAAGGAATTCATATACAACTTTTTAAAGTTTGTTAACGGGCTTTTAATCAGTTGGAATCGAAAAACAACTTTTACATGTCAGTGAAGTAGTAGTACACATAAGCATAAAATTGCAAAAAAGTCATTATAATTATCTCTGATTTTCAGATATTTCATGATCATATTATAGAAAAAATCATTCCTTGATTAGTGGTTTTATTAAAATGTTTTGTCCAGTAATAAATTTGTAGAACGTATTTTTATGACAACCTCGCAAATATTTTTAGGGCACCGGATTGATCCATATTAAGGAAAAACAAGTCAAAGGGCTGATTGTAGGCTTACGTCCTACAAATTCATAACCGGACAAATCATTTTACTTAAACAACTAATTTTTTGCGGAATGATTTTTCTATAATATGATCATGACATACCTGAAAAATCAAAGATAGTAATGACTTTGTTGGCAATTTTATCCTAGTGTTCACTTCTGCTTCACTGAAATGTGAAATTTGATTTTTGATTCCATCTAATAAAAGACCGTAAATAAACCTTATAAAGTTGTATATGAATTCCTTAAACATTGCAATGTTCCATGCAAGTAGAATATTCAAAGACTAATAGATGTAAATGTGTTTATCTTTTATATTTTCTTACCTTGTTAAGGTCAAAATCCAATTTATCTTAATCATTCCGGTGAAATAAATCCAAATCAGTTCAGGAACAGGAAAATATTCCAAATCAAACGAGTACGCACCGTGTAAATGAAGGGTATGCACGTTTGTTTTTTCCCTAAAAATATATAATTTATTTTCACCGAGTGGTATGAAATACGATAATTTCCATACCATGAGACAACAATGAATCATAATTTATACAAAAAAAATTCTGTTTATTATATATTCTTTCTCATTTTAACCTTACAATATAAAAGATTTCCCCTTTGATTTTGTTTATTGACTAAATCGTATTGACAGAAAGTAGTCCCGTAACATATGATTCATTGCAGCGAAGAATAAAATCGGAAGGGGAAATATGCATTTTATCGCATCAATATATCTCAATATTTCATTTATAGGTACAAATTTATATAATAATTAAAAATATTCTTCAAATCTAAATTTCAGCTCAAAATTCAATAAGTTCAGGGACTCGTGGGCCGTATTGTTACGACTGTTCACATATCGGGGAGAATGAAAATTGTACATCCGTTCAAATGTGTCCCTCCGACCAGGTAATGTTATTATATATATAAAATAATAACTTTAAAAGAAAGGGGTATATACAAGTGAACTATGACTTACAGATACAATTCGTTGCTAAATACAAACCAAACATTTATTATGGAGAATGTTTTGAACTACTTAATTAATCAAACAATACACTCGGTTGACACTAGAGTCGAGTAGGCTAATTCCGTACAGTTCCGTATGGAGTTGCTTTTCGATGTTGACTAACTCAATATAAGAAATAGCATATAAAAACGTTTCGGACTGGGTACCAGTATTCGTCGTTTAATATATTTTATAAAGTGATTTTCTTACTTTTACATCCGATTTGTGGCAGAATAATTGCTACATTATAGCAAAATAATGAAATAAAAACAAATAAGCAAAATAAAAGTTAAAATTGACAGTATGCATAGATATATTGTTTGTTTAATAACGACGTTGTTTAACTGACGTCCATAATGATTTAACATTTTTCAGGTATGTATGATAGAGAAGTATGCATGGGGAAACAATGACTTCAACTACGTTATGGGATGTATACGTCCACATGTAATTCGTTTTATATCATAATTTTTATAACTTAAGAGATATTTTATAAGCTATCATTAAATACAAGTAAGAAGTGAAAGAGCCAACTTAACGTCTATCATGCCAAATATGCACTCGCCGTATTAAAAATATCAAGACATTTAAGAAATGTTGAACTTTCTTCATGAAACAAATTGAGAATGCTTCCTAAAGTTTATGTACTTTTCAATTAAAAAAATCGTCACCTCGTTTATCTCTTAGTTCATTTTGTTTGTAATTAACCTTGTTATTAAAGAGTTTGTTACAGATTTTTTTTAACAAGTATATGCTTTGTATTAAGCTGACACATTACATTACATTTGAAATGAATATTACAATACAATATATCTTACACTACACTATGGTACTTGATTTTTGCAATGTCGTACTGTCACTGCAACAACACGAAAATACATCAAAATCACCACTTTGTAGTATTTTCGTGTGCAGGCAAAAACACGAAAATACGACAAGCACCACTTTGTGGTATTTTTACTTGTCGCAACTATGTCTATTTTCGCTTTATGGCTCAGAGAGTGAAAATACAAAAAAGTCACTATTTGAGTATCCTCGTGACTTCACCTAGCGCCCCGTGGAGTGAAAGTGGTGACTGTCGTATTTTCGTGTGTGTTTTCGTCTGGCGCCCCACGAAACAAAAATACGACAAGTCAACAAAACAACCACAATACTTATGTCACTGCACTATTTCATGTTACAATAAAGGTTTCTTTTTATTACATGCTCGTTACAATTGAAATATCATTTTCGTCTGCTCACAGGTTTGCGAGGCAAAGAAACGGTCAGTTGTAGACCGGAAGTTGACTCTTCGGCACGCGCCAGTGTGTACACATTGCTGCTCCGCTGATTTCTGCAACCAAAATTGTACCCATCATTACAGTCCAGGACTTATAGGTAGGTTTTGACCAAATTCTTAAAACAAAAACATAATACTTCTCTATAAATAAAGGTATAAAAGGATGGAAATATACAAGTCAGCTGTAAGGGAACATGGACGGTAGCTTGCACTTACAACTTCTGTCCAGGCCCACTCGAACCGAGCCTGCAACACTTCTATCTTTTAACCATTTTTTCTGTTTAGTAAATGACCTAATCTATAAACTGATTTTCACGTTTCCTTTTTTATAAATCTTCATTAAGAATTTTATGGTTCCACATAATAATGAGTTTGTAAGTTCAAAAGTACTTAATAGAGTTATACAAAGACAATAATGATGCAACTTTTGATTGTTCTTAATTGTTCTTGAAACTGCATTGTGTTATTTTTTATACTACAGGTTAATAGAGCATTGTGTAAGATATACACCAGCATTTTGTCTTATTGTGTGGAGTATATTGTTACAGTAGTTATTAAACAAAATGTGAATAGAATTCGTGAATGATCTGATATACACTTTTCTTATATTCCACGAAATAACTTTCAACAATTGACTCTATTTCACTTATCTTAAAGTTAGCTGATATTTACATTTTTTTTCTTTTTGTATCATAGTTTGGGGACCTTTCTGTTGAAAAGTGTCAGAGTTAAATCATATACATATACATGCACAGTGCGTAAACTGGAGTGCAGGTATTAGTTACCCGCACTCCAGAGCATGCCTATTGATTGGCTCATTTTTGCTGGGGTTACTTTTTGTGACGGCAGAGAAAGGGACAGCAATAGAAATATCATATTCAGATGCTCGCTCATTGGTTACTTTTTTCCGGGGTTTTATATTATGACAACAGGGAACGTGTTTTTATGTATAACTATAAAACAAAAGAGAAAGAACATCAAAATACTCAGGCAATCTGATTAATACTAGGGGGCTACGCCCCTCGTACAAATCAGATAGTCTCGTGTTTCGATGCTCTTTCTAAGACATATTTCAGTTTATAACTCTACAGCTCTATTGTGGCGAGAGGTAAAACAATAATTTGCATTTTTTACATAGATTAGCTGGGGCACTTAAAACAGAAGAATATACAGAAGATAATCAAGAAATATACTCAGAAATAAATTGAAAATCGTATTTGTGCTAGTTTTAGCCCGATTGGAATAAAAAAGCGTTTGAACGCTTCAATTTTGGGTCGTTTTTTTACAATTAAGATAATTATTCTATATATAAGCGGAGTGAGCGAATGATCTGAAATTGTGCTTCTAGACCTACATCAAATGGATTATTAATCATCTCGAAATATTTTTTCCAGTCCCGTCATGTCAAAAAACCTGAGTGGAGTCCCTCTAAAATTGATTTTCAAAATAGTTTACTGTCTTATTATCTATATTTATCAATCATTTCCAGTCTTCCTATCAATGTCTATAAAAATTATTTGATACTTTGATGTAATGCTAAATACTGCAATACATACCTGAAAGAAAGAAAAGTTATATTTTATAGTATAGTTGTCAAAAAACATATAATTTATATTGTCATGAAACCTATAATTTATATTGATATAAATATATATTGATATAATTATATAATAAAACAGTGTCAAAATAACGCACATTTCTTTGTTACAAATACGAATTTCATTTTTAATGGCCTTATTTTATATAAACTGTCCTTTCTTATAATTATTGCTCATGTAAACTTTTAAATATATAGCATAATGTTCGTTCGCATGCTATCATCCTGGAAATGAATATCAACCGGTCACGAAAATTTTTACGCATTATTTTCCAGGGGCGAGTAATCTAGTATATAGAATTAAGAAAATGTGATGTTCTAGTTCTCTCCCCTGGACACAATCTATGATGAATGGTTCTTGGAGTTTTAATAATTCATACATTAAAATGTCGGTTCAGGATGATAAAAAATTGTTCAAAATATCTCAAATCTGATAGTATCCCCAGTTAATGAACACTAAGTCTATAGCAATAAAATTGACCTGAAAATAAATCCTGTATTTATAGAAGAAACTTGAATATCCTCTATGTATTACGAGTAATACAAAGTCAGTTTAACAATAAAATGCGTATTTTGTCAAAAATGCCCCCAGGTTAATATTTTCAACAATGTGTGAAATATATCTGCCTTATTTAATGCATATAAAACGTTTTTAAAACGTTCATGTTTTGCAGAAATAAAATCGTTCTACTATGCATGTATACTTAAAAAAAGTAGAAAACACTGCAAACTCAAGATTTTCCTAAATTATATATGAACTTTAAAAAATTTCATAGCAAACTTAAAAAAACAGAAATGATTTCCCACTCGATATGCATTACTGCAGTTGTATATATAGTTATTCAAGACATAGTTGTGAAAATTAGCCTCCTTATCAATAATAAGGAAATAGCATGTTTTTAAAGTCTGCCCAGCTCTTTGTCCCTTTCTCGTTTGAGAAGGGGGATCCTGTGATGCGTGTACATGGTCGCACGGTCGAAAGTCAGTAACACAAAGACAACGTTTTCAAAAGTATTTTTGCTTTTTTTGTTGTAAGAAAAATTACCCCCTAATAATTTGGTGAGTCAAATGAGGACTTTTTTTACTCCTTTTCACAGATGATAAGTATGTGATCCAACAATATGCCAGTGATATTCTGAGTTTAAGTGATTTATTTTTTCAAAAAGCAAAAGCCCCTAAGAACGATTAAAACGGAAAATTTGAAAATTCTACAGGCCCAATTTAACTGAACCTGTGCATTTTCAGTACTGTACAATGCACATCCCAAAGCATCGGCTTTAACAGAATGAATTTAACATTTAATTTGAACTCGTAACATGTTAAATATAGTTACATTCGTAGATTTGTTAATACTACGGTTATCAGGGAACTACAAAAGCCTTATTGTGTCAAATAAACTATAATATAAAAATGCAAAGGCGTAATAACGCGAATAAAGGCGTTATTACGCGAATCAAAATAATTAATTACGAGAGTTAAAAGGCGTAATAACGCAAAAATGGCGTAGCAACGCAAATAAAGGCGAAGTAATGCGAATATAGGCGTTAAATCGCGAATTGAAAGGCATAATTATGCGAATCAAAAGTTGTACTTAAGAGAATAAAGGTGTAGTAACGCAAAAAGGCGTTATAAGACGAATCAAAAGGCCTAATTACGCGAATCAAAAGGCGTAATAACGCGAATCAAAGGCATAATAACGCGGATAAAGGCATTATAACGCGAATCAAAAGGCGTAGTAACACGAATAAAGGCGTACTGACGAAAATTAAAACGCATTATAAAGCCAATTTAATACCATATTTATACTAATCAAATTGCCTGTTAACGCGAGAAAGGAAGAACAATATTGATCTGAAATTATTGCTCAAAATATAAACTCGTATAGAATATTATAATATACATTTACAATAACTATCATTCCATTTGCGCAGTAATAATGCAAACTATTTGTCATACACTAATGAAGACTCTTTGATATTTGTCCATTTAACGTGACTTTATTCGCGTTATTACGCCTTTTGATTCGCGTTCTAACGGATTTATTCGCGTTATAACGCCTTTGCATTCTTATTCTTTATTTTATTGACACTATTAGGCTGTCGTAAGGGAACCTTCAATTGAACACGTCAGTGGAATTTCGCGCCGTATAGTCCACAATTTAAATAATGCTTACGCCATAAACGACAAATATAATGGGAAATAAAAATTATGGCGTCCTGGTGATAATTTATAATGTTTTAAAAAGGATAAATCCTACGTAGCAGATAAAAAGTCCAAATAGAAGATTTAAATGCCTACGTAAGGCTTTATTACTATTACGTAGGAAATAAAAAAAGAAACGATGTTTTACGTACGACTTAATAGCTGAAAGCACAGAGTGCGACGGACGTGTATGCTGGGGCATATCTTACGAAAGGATACTATTTCTAAATAAATTCTAAATGTCAATTTCTTATTTTGGCTTCGCCGATATACCGGTCCGGAAAGATGTCATTTCCAAAGCATTATATATACATGGGATTGAATTTGAATATTTGAATTGTCCTAGTTTGTACAAAGTTGACTTATACAAAGTTGAACGTAGGAAATATAAAGTCTTGCTTGGAGTATTAAATTCATGATAAGGTTTTCTTATCTATTACGTAAAAATGATCTTTTTTTAATATAGAACATAGCATTATTTCAGGCACGAGCGGGCACCTGAAAGGAGCCACCGTCATAGCTGGAAAGGTTCCTCGCATAAAATAATTCAAAGTCCCTGCCGGATTCAAACAAAAAGCAGTGCTGGAAGACTGGTTTGAAGTTAACGACTTAAAGCCTCGGTCTCACTTACTCCCGGCAGAGCCCAGGACCATCCCGGTAAATTACCGGGATGATCCGGGACGATCCGGGATGAAACTATTGTTGCGGTCACACTTACCCCGGCAGCACTACGGTAGTTCCCTACTAACCACCCAGGATGCGCTCCGGATCATCCAGGCAGAGCCCAGGTGAAGCTACGGTTCATGCCGGTGCTTCCCCGGTCGTTCCCGGATGACGCCGGAAGAGCCCCGGTTGACCCAGGCAGAGTCCCGGTCGATCCAGGCAGAGTCCCGGCAGAGCCCAGGACGATCCAGGCAGAGCCCCGGTAGAACCCCGGTGGATTGAAAACGCCCGAAAATGATAACATTAATACATAATTTTTATATAATATAATATCTATTAGTAATTCGTGATGATTTTCTGAAAAATCCTTATGCCATACTGGATAGAAGCGAAATGGGAAGGGTTTTAATACAAACAGGTGCAATCATCGCAAACTGTCGTTATTCTTTTGAAATGATCCGGGCTTTGCCGGGGCTCTATCGGGATCAACCGTAGCTCTACCTTTATCCTCCGGGGCTCTGCCTGTAGTTACCGGGGCTCTGCCGGCATATACCGGGGCTCTACCGTAGCTCTACCGTAGCTCTACCGGCTATATCATACCCCGGATCATCCCGGGTTTGTGCCGGTAGAGCTACAGTGCTTTCCCGGTATAACCCCGGTCGTTCCCGGCAGAGCTAAGGATGAAGCCGGCAAAGCTATACCTTCCCGGATCATCCCGGACCACCCCGGTGATATTAAATATTTTATTCCATCCGGGGTCGAATGCCGGATGTTCCCGGATCATCCCGGATCATCCAGGACGTTGCCGGCAGAGTTACGGATGTACCCCGGTTGTTCCCGGTCGTACCCCGGTCGTTCCCGGATCACCCCGGACGTCTACCGGGGCTCTGCCGGGGCTCTGCCGGGATGTAAGTGAGACTGTAACTTAACTACTCGAACACATCTTAATGAAGGCAAATCGATTATGTTCACACTTATCCCCGGAAGGTCGACAATTTTGTCTCATTGAAATGCTTAAAGTATACATTTCCGTGTACATTTAAGAAACTTTATAAGTAGATTTTAAAGTTTTATCTTAAAACCTTTAGTCAGGCAACAATATCACTTACTGGTAGGTATAACAGGGTGTATTAATTAACATATGAAATTGTGTTTATATTTCTGATAATTTTATGCTGGTTTCTCTTTTTTATATCATTGTTAAGTTTATTGTTTAATAATTTACTTTATCACATACTTAAATAATTAATCTTTAGATAAACTATAACGAACATAGGTACGAAAAGTTAAAAATAAAACAGAAAGATAAAAATGACCGTCAGGTTAGATTTTCAGTGTAACGGTCGATATTTACATTTGAATTTCGATGTTACGTCATGTGACTTTCATCATCCTGTGACGTCATTGATGACAATCTGGTGAATCTGCCAAGTGAGGAGATTTTAATTGCAACGTTTCTGTATTCGGCGATGATGTCATCTAAGCACATACTTCTCAAAAATGACTTTGATATCTTTATATGCTTACCAGTGTAATGTTTTTTAATTATATTGATTATTTCGTTTTTGATTTTATTCTTAACTTCAAATTGTGTAAAAATTTTTACTTGTTGTCGTCACGGCTGTGACTCCGTAACAATGAGCTAACTTTGTGCCGTGTGTGGACATGATATAATTTGCTGGTCATTCGAGTTTAAATCTCTGGATTTATTTTTTTCCCACCACTTCTCAAGTATTTCTTTTGTCAGTCAAGGATATTTTGCAAAATTTTCTCTTGTAAGTATTTCACCGACATAAATATACTTGACTTATTTTCCTTAAAGTCCTCCAACAATAGCAGGAATTTAATTGAATGAAATTAATCTCTTAATGAAGATGTTTTGGTAATAATTATTTCCTCCCAAATGTAAAAGTAACTGTAAGAGCTTCAGAATATAAGCAACAAGAGAATAGGTCTACATCAATCCGTCTTATTTGTTCATAAGACACCCTTGCCAAAGACTTTCACATTTCCGGGTAGACACATTTTTTGATAAACTTCCCTAGCCTATAGACATTAATATCCCCATTAATTACAAATACAATGTGATATGGTAATATATTTGAATAGTTTTGAGCTGTGTACCTTCCTCGCAACGTTTTTTTGCTAAGTTGTTACAATTTTTAAAGTACTTTGTTGAAAAGCATTGTATGAATAATGGTTTTGCAATAAATACTGTCGTTTCAGTATTTCCATTAAAAGCATTAAAAACCTCAAGTTTAGCCTCATGTGTTAATTATTACAAAATATTAGAAAAAACTTTTTGACATGACAAGATTTGATGATTCTGAAATCTTAAGTGTCTATTCTTTCAATCTGACAAATATAAACTTATGTTAGATCAATACTTCCTCTATTGTCTACTTACTCCATGAGTGCTTTCAACCCACAACGAAATAAATTCTACTCCATGATTGTAACCCACAAGGACATTAATTCTCAAAGATGACGCTTACGCCCTTATTTCATCTTATGTAAACCAGTAGAACACGTATTCGTATTCTTCCGCTAATAGATATAACCATATGTTTTTTTTTTCTAGAAAAACTTAGCAACTGAAGGATCTCTTATGGATCATAGTCAAAGGTTAATTTGCCTAGCGTAAAACTCTGTAGGTTTTTGACGGATTAAGGCATTTGCACTTTCATTTTTATTCTGATTGCATTTTATTCAATAGCAAAACTTAAACTTTTTAGATATCTTTTGTTTGCACTAAGCGTTAAGAAAAACAAATTATATTTTGTCTTAACATAAATGCTACTTATAGACTTGGGGCAACAGGCCTGGAACCAACCAGTACAAGGAAAAGAATGTAAAGTTTCTTGCTAAAGGAAACAACGGCTTGCCCCTGGCAGGGTTTGAAACTACGTGGTCAGCACATATTGAAAGATGGACGAGCGCATTTCATACGCATAGCCTTGTAAAGTACCACTAACAGCGTTTGTAATGTGTAAAATGCAATTTATATGTAGGTTTATGCCTGTCTCTATCGCAATTTACTTAAAATATGTTTTTATCAGCATTAATTAAATGCTACGAGTATGTATATTGTGAAATTTTTACTGTTTCTTTATTTTTTTCTATTATGTACTGTTTTATTTTCCTACCATGTTAAAGACCACTCACATCAATCAAAGAAAGCATAAATCATATTAAGTATAGACAAAGCAGCTGTTACTGCGTGAGACAAAATATATTCATCATAGAGATGGGCAGGCGATAACTATTTTCACTTCAGCGTCCATTGAAAAAGCTTTTAATTTCATCATTTTACTAGGTCATTTAGCACACCTTTTTATTTCTGGTCACATGTAAACTGTTTGGACAAAACATGCGAAATGTACATTAAATTCAGAGAGAAGTGAAAAGTGTCTATGCGATCTTTGTATGATTAATTCAAAACTATATTGATCCACATGTTTCGTTTACGATATCATTTGATAAGTTTAGATAAACATGTATGTTCATTGAATAAGAAACAGTAAGAATAAGGGATAAGTTTTTTCATGAATGTATATTTAACGATTTGTATTTATCTATAAAGCGATTCTGTGCAATTTTAAAAATAATAGTTAGTCAGCGAAAGAAACAACGAACGTTCAAAAACGAACGTTAAAAGAACTTAAAGCGTGTCTGCGTCTTCCTTCAGCATGTAATGTTTTCGCCAAGAATACGAGCCAATTTTGTGTGATGTTATGTTAATAACTGGAGAAATATTCAAATTAGGACAGTGCTAAACTGCTGTCATATTATTTGTGAAAATTTGTTAAATAAATTTGAAATAATTAGTGATATTTTTTTTGAAAAGTATAGAAAATTTGCCCCTTCTGGATCTCCTCATTTACAATAAAGCGAAAAGAGCTGATATTTTAGTTTTGTTAAAAAAAAATTCTTGAGCTATCATTTCTTTTAATAAATGAACTTATGAGGCAATATGAGAAATAGGATTGCACCTAACCACGTAGCGCAAACGCTGTTTATTGGTTACTAAAACAGGAATGTTGGTTTCATGATGATAATGGTCAAGGTTAATTGCACTTGCATCTCTTTCATTTTGTACGTGTTATTAAGAATATTCTTGCAAGATATGTAACTATACTGTATTCTTATATATTTATAAAGGGGATATATAAAAATGAGGGAAACATACCGCCATTAACCGTTTTTCTGTATGTATAATAAAATGAACGTAAAAATGCCCAGTAAACATCCGGTACAGCAACAGCAGACACACATAAAGGTTTTATACAAGTATTATTATTATACCGTGCTTATTATTTGTCACAAATACATTATGTAAAGCCATGTTTTAAAAGGTGGGATAGTACCACATATACAAAAACAATAACAACAATAATGATAATGATAACAACAACTATATTTTGTTCAGTATAAAATCAGCAAAATTTGTCATCGTCTATGCCTAAATTTTTTTTTTTACATTTGTAGAAGGTTCTTGTTTCTTGTAGGACGAATAATTTAATAAAACTATAGGCAACAGCTCTATAGCTTAACATACTTAAATTAACATATAGGAAACATTCATTTTTTTCCAAAAATTAACAGATAGTAATTATGTTCACCATGTGATACCTAATTGCATTAATATTTCTTTCTGTCAGTTCTTTTTATAATTTGTAGTTGTAAGTTATTTACCGTCATTTCAACGGTTAAAAATTGTAGCATTGCCGCTACCAACAATAATAAACCTACTTTTTTGCACATTCAATCAGGCACATGTATTTTCATGTACGAATGTCAACGTTAAGGCGGCAGATCCACGTTACTCGAATTCCGTTTCTCTCGAAGTAAAATACCCAGTACCTTGGATTTCGAGTTACCGAGAGTCAACTGTATATACAATTTCCTATCACTTTCGACTACATATTCTGTCTTTTAGCTTCATCATCACTTTTTTAAAATGTGGATCAAGAATTCCATATAGGATCGGATTGATAACGTGATTTATAAAGTACAGTCGAAAAAAGAAGAAATAAACTGTTTTCGATCCACCACTCATGTCTTTCAAAATGTTTTTGGCAATGAACGATAGAAGTGTCGAGTACAAGATAATAGTTATGATAAATAAAATTGTTAATATTAGCATTATCTTTGTCTTCCTGCGCACACGGAAACCAACAGATCGCTTCAGTCGTAGCGAAGTATTCGAGCGTTTTTTGTCAGTTTTGGAATTGGCAAAACTTACTCCGGGCACGGTTAGAGTTGTTATCCGGCTTGAAGAGTCTTCCTCCTCGTCTGTTGTAAGTCCTCCATCTGACGAGACATAATTAAACATGGCTTTCTTTGATTTATTGCCAACGGCTGTAGAATATCCGACATCACTAGTTTCCTGTCTTGAACTTAGCTCGGTGTCTTTCTTTATGATGACATCCGAAGAAGCACCGGTCGTAATTGAAGTAATTGTGATAGCTTTATCGTCAGATTTTTTACCAACACCCCCTTTTCCAGTGATAAGTTTTCGTGCTACGAGTATGTACAGACCGAATATCGAAATGAGGCAAACTGATATCATACCTTGAACTGTATAAGAGTATTTTAACGGATGGTCTGTCTTATTGTATTCCTCGTCTTTTTCACACACCGTTACATTTACTGTTTGATTTTTGTATTCGTATTTAGCAGTGTGTATTCCCCAAAAGAAGGGAACAGGCAACGCAATTATAAACGACACAAAGTAAACGACACCACACAAAAATAAAGCCATCTTTGGTCGTATCTGCCATCCAAAAGGTGAACAAACTTTTCTGTAGCGATCTATGGCGATGATGAGAAGACACAATGTTTCTGCTGCAACAGTGAACATGTTGAAAAAAGACTTGATCTTACAGATTAATCTATACGGGTATATATACCAGTACATTTGAGTTACCATCTCTCCAGGCATTGTCGTTAAAGTGCTGGTAAAGTCCACAACCGCCATACAGAGCACGAAATACCGGAAGTTGCAGACATGATAACGAAATAAGAACACATAAATCACCAGCAAGTTTCCAAAGAACCCAACTACAACCTCAATTCCCACAAAGACGGTCACTGGTAAAACAGCTTCTCGAAAATCATCGTTTAATTGTCTTGCCAATTCTTCATTTGTCATAATGTCGTCCGAAATCTTTTTTTCTCAAAGCAAATATATCTTTACTGTATTGAGAGGTGATGCGATATGAAATTAGTTATGCAGATATCATAAGGACAACTTCCTTAAACTTAATAGCTAATGATTTAAGTGCATTAAGACAATTTATATATTTTCCCTTCCAAAAGTAGTCTGTTTTCAAAAGTTCTTAATACAGTGTTACTTTATTCGTTTATAAGTGACATATCATTGAGATGTACAAAATGATAACCAACAAACAATTTAAATGAAATTACATTGAAGTGACTAAACCTTACCTAAATGGAACTTAAAGCGAATAACAATTTAAGAGTTTGAGCTTGCTCAGATATGAATTTGATTATGAGAGATTCACAGAAAACAAGTGATTGTAATAATGTAATATTCGTCATTAAAACTTAAATGTTTAATCACCTTTTAATTTGTAAAAACTATAATAATGTACTGAACTTATTATCTTAAGTGATTTGATCTACGTGCGTTTTAAACTATAACACTGATCAAATATGGTAATAAATGTCAGATTTCAATACTTTTGCCAACATATATAATAGATAATACAATATAATAGTTTCATATAAACTATTGCTTTCCTCCATCGATAAGGGTCATTTGACTTTTTTTATTTAGATAGCAATATGGGGTAATTTATTTAAAACGAAATTGTAATCAAATTATAAAAAAACTATGTCGTATACATTCTTGCATTTTGAATTTATTGATATAAATAGGTTGTGCTATTTATCAAAGCAAATGTTGCACTCCTACATTCACAAGAAAATGTGTTATCTTCAATATCTTTGTAAGAAAAAGATAAGTAGGGTTATGTGACTATTGGTCTCAATACGGTTTCGAAAATTGACAAAAACTTTAAATTTTATCTGATTCTCCGTCTAAAGAGATTGAATCTTTGATCAAATTCAGAATCTTTATCACACTTTTCATGAGAGAAAGCTCGCTCCGTTATATAGCGTGTAATTATATTGATGTGTCATTACAAGGATTGTTGTCATGGACAGGTACGGCGGAGGTTAGTATGCATTAAACAAAGACATATGATCCTCTTTAGTCTTAAAAAGAACAACAACTAAACCTTATTTAAAAAAAAAGAAAATGTGGAGTCAATTGCCAAACAGTTAAATAACTTTAATAACGCAAATCAGGGTAAGGGTCTAGATTTCTTTAAAAGCAGCCGTTTTTAGTGTTGGATTAAAATTTTTATTACAAAATTCCTTAATCAATACATAGACGTGTATTTTGATACTTATTTCATTGAAATCGACCAAAATTTTATCAATTTGGAATCAAATGCTCGACGTTAATTTTTCTTAATTTTATGAATTGGCCTGTCAAATCTTGATAGGTGTGATCTTTTTAAATATTCGCAATGTACATCGTTTTGAATATTTATTTTCTAACAACATTCTCAAGAGATTGTTCATGTGCACATTTAGTACTGGGGTTTTCAATGACATTTGGAGGGATAGTATAATAATACCAGTGTACAAGTCTTGGCCTCAGGATGACCCTTCTAATTATAGAGGAATTTCCTTAATCAATGTTATGTATAAGATATTTTCTAATACTATATATGATAGGTTATATAATTTGGCTGATAAATTTTATAAAATACATGTAGTTGAATCCCAAAGCCGGATTTCGAGCCGGTTACTCTACAATTAATAATATTTTCATATTACAAAGTATGGTACAGAAATATATTAGTAAATCGGGCGTACGATTTTATGTTCTTTATGTAATTTTTAAAAAAGCATTTGATGGACTTAAACATTTAAATTTATTCAATACTATAAACAGATGCGGCGTTAGGGGGAATTTGTTTCGTGTTGTTTTATCAATGTACTCAAAACTGCGTGGATGTGTACAAGTTAGTACTACCAAAACTACAGAATATTTTAAATGTAACATAGGTACAAGACAAGGGGACGTAACAAGTACGATTATGTTTAACCTGTATATAAATGAGTTATCTCCCTTTCTGCTTTATAAGGGACATCGCGGTATATTCATTACGGATTAAATTCCCGATATTATATGCATTCTTTTCGCCGATGATGTTGCGAATTGCGCCGATACTGCGACCGAACTTCAGTCTCAATTAAATTCAATTTCAAAATTTTGTAATAATACCGGTATGTCTATAAATGAAAATAAAACTGAAATCATTGTATTTTGAAATGGGGGACCGCTCAGATCAAATGAAAAATGGTTATACAACGGCAGTTCAGTAAATGTCACCTCAAGGCACAAATATATAGGTCTTTTATTTACACCAAAATTATCTTGGACAAAAGCAAAAAATAAACTTGCTGCACAAGCTAGGAAATATATTTATGCTATTAAATCATATCAAAGAAATTTTGGAAAGTTCTTAAACTCTGATTATTTTAAATTATTTGACTATATGGTAAAACCTATACTTACCTATGGTGCCGAAATTTATGGAAGTGAAATCTCTGAAATTTTGAACAAGTTAAAATACAATATTGTTAAGATAGATTTTCTGGATGTAAATTTTTCTGTTAATGATAATGTGGCACTAGGAGAATGTGGAAGGATGCCTTTATGTATTGATCATCATGTAAAAATGATCAAATATTGGTGTAAACTTCTTTGTATGCCAGAACATAGATATCCTAGAAATTGTTATTTGATGTTAACTAGACAAGATAATGTTGGAAAGAAAAATTGGGCTAATTTTTCTGAATTCCAAATTGATCTTACGCAAAGCAGGGTAAGGAGTTAGATTTCTTTAAATAGCAGCCGTATTTGGTGTTGGATTTAAAATCTGATTGTACAATTCCTTAATCAATGCATGGACGTGCATTTTAATACTAATTTCATTGAAATGAACCAAAATAAGAATATTATATTCGTGTAAGTTCATTACTGAATTTATTGAACTCGTTGAATAGAATATTTTGCTTGTAATACATTGTGTAATATATTTTTTGTTCAACTCGTTCAATAAATCAAGTTTTGAACCTACGCTCATTCAATTTCCACTGTATATTGACAGACAATCAAAGGTTGAGTTAATAGTTATTTTTACGTAAATTAGAAATGATATTGTTTGAAATTTTTGATAAAAAAGTAGATGTCAGTCCTATGTTCATCAGAAAATGTCTGTGAAAAAGAGGGTAATCATCTTTGGAGACATTTTGTGAAAATTGGATAGTCAATCGTATGGGAATAATTGAAATATGTAATGACTGAAAAGCGAACTGTGCAAACAATGGTCAGACCTGCCGTGTGAACTTTTTCTGCTCTGGTCGCATAGGTAAAAGCTGTTCCCGAGAGCAACAGGTTGAATGTTAACATACAAAACCAGTATAATTTAAAGAAAGGAGAGTGATAGTAGGAGTCGCAATTCATAATACATTTATTCATGGGTGTTACCTGATACCACTGGGTCTTGTAGTGTTAATAGTTTTCAATCATCTGAATTATGGCAGTAAGTCACAATGAATTATCCAGAGCACAGATCAGCCACTGCATCTGCCAAGTATTTTAACAGACTGAGTACTAGTTGCCTTTACTTTTCGTAATGAACTGATAAGTTTTGGGCAGAGGTACAGTGTGAATGACCGTAGAAAAGATTTCATGATCAATAACAACGAAAGTGACCTGCACCGTCCGGAATCGAACCCGTGTTGCCCGATTGACAGTCCAACGCTTTACCTACTGAGCTAACCGGACGGCTTACTGGATTTCTTATTCACAAATTACTAAATATATAGACAGGGTTGATGTTTGACCCTCGCGCTCCTTCAATAACTTTTCAGATGAGACTTTTTAAAATGAATATAACACAAGTTGAATACGGCTGAAGAAGTGTTTGTTACATTTTAAGTCATACCACGATGAAAGAGCATGTGCTGACTTTTGGGTAAAAGGGCATGTGACGACTTTTCGCCGAAAAGCATGTTGTGACTTTGAAGCATAAATTGTGGAGGAAAACCTTATGTGGCCATTCGTGCGTTATTTCAGGCTCAAGCGAGCCATCATAGATGAAGAATATATCACCACCTCGTTTTCTTACTACCATATTTATTATATTTGCCTCCCCGTCCCCTGACTACACATATATGTGTCCGTCTTTAAAAAGGAAATGAAAGAATTCAAGAAAACCTACTCTATATAGAAACAATACATGTTTATTTAAGTTCTACATTATTTCATGAACAGATAAGGGTTCATGCAAATTTGTAATACCTAGCTTAATTGTATATGTATTTGAATCAAATGCAGATGGCATTTGCGCAGTACAACTAAGTCTTATTTGGTTTAAGAATGAGTTATTAACCAAACTATCGTTGACAATAACATCCGGGTCATCTGCTTTTCGAACCACGTGATTAACTAGCACGTGTTAGCAGTGGCGCTGTCTGTTAGGTAAACATGTAATGTCGTCATTGTCCCGAGAGTGCTCAGACAATCTGGTGGTGGAGTCATAAAGAACTGAAATAAAAAAAAGAAAACCAGCCTATGACTTATTTTATAATATGAAAACCTGATTTTTCTTTTCTTGGCTCCTTACATCGGCATTTCCTATAACGATGGCTACCTTTGCAATGCAATGTTTTCAAAAAGGCATCATTATAACCAGATGGTGTTTGTCCTAGAATTACCGAATGCATTTCCGATACCATTTACAAATTCTTAAACCTTATTAAAAGTACAAAAAAACACGTTTTAACACTTTGTTTTTGGTTTTGAATTAATATGCATTTTTTGTGCTATCAAGGCCTTCAGGACCAGATGTAACGAGTACTGGACTAATGGCTCTGTCGTCATATCAATAACAACAAAACGCAACTTCCGGTGATTTTCCCTCAGTTCAAGTTTACTCAGTTGCAAGCATGCGCAGTAGGGACTTATATATAAATTAATACTATAAACTTTATTGCATTTTTCATTGTTTATGTTTGGGTTTGGGAGATTTGCTTTATTTATATGTTTGTTTTTTAAGCCTGCGTACCCTATAAGAACTTCGTGGAGGATGTTCAATGCGTGGAGAATAATCCTTCAAATCCATTGCTAAAGCCCATCCAAAACCGTTGAGAACACCGCCATTGTAGAGGAGAAATACCGGATATGAGTTGTCACAGCTCATGTTCTTACTAAGATCGTACCAGTAGTGGAGACCTGAATGTAATAATGTGTTTGTACATGTAGAATGAGAAGTCTTTTGTGTTAACAAATTTGTATTCATATTCAGGAATGTGTGTCCACTAAAACCTGCACGCCTCCAAATGTGTCACAATATTTCAAGAAATTCAAACTTTAGAAAAATGTATTACGATCTTAAAAAAATATATAAAGATTCAATATTCAATTGATAATTTACATGTTTTGTGCAATTAATGACTTATTTTGCAGTATCGGTCACTATAATTCTACTGCGTTTATAAGAGGTAATAATGTATATTTTGACCTCTTTTTTGGTAATTAACGTAGATCTTAAGTGGTATTTGCAATGTGTAAATTACTTTCTTTGTTAACTATATTTTACTTAAATATACATTTTCAAAAATTTCAGGAAAAATAGCATGAATCTGGAGGCATGTCGCTTTAAGTTAACCAACGAACTGGATGAATATGAAGTTAAGAGATTTTATAATTCAAGAAAAAATTAACATTTATGAAAGCCACATGTGCAAATAGTTAGATGACCATCCGCAAACTATTTGAAATCTTGATAGTTTGCTCTGTCTAAAGATGAATATTCGACAAAAAAGTAACCGACTATTCATAATTGACTTTAAAGCAAAGAACGTAATGTTTCAAATAATTTGATACTAATGTGATTTTTACTGCTGGCTAAGTTTGCCTCTGGGGTACAAAGAAGTACAATCAATTTAGATAGTTTTGATATTTTTTGACGTACCCATTGTAACAAAGCAAGCTCCTTTAGTCCATTTACTAGCGTCAGCATCAGCGACTGTTTTGGGTATAGTGATGGAGTGGGCGACAGGATTGGTTCCATTCTGAATCCACAAACCGGTTCCTGTTCCTTGAGAGTTGAATTGACTAGCAGTTCGACCACCGTTGCAAATAATCGCTGAAACGAGTGAAAGAAAAAAATAGATATCCAATGAAACACCTACAAAGAACGACCACATGATAAAGCAAAAACCTGACATACTGTCATAAAGTGCCGTTATTTACAAATTAGTATTCAAACCGTTATACAGTGCAAAATAACTTATTACCACGCATGTAAGGCCACTATATTCTAGAACGGTTTGAAAGTACATCGAGCATGTACGCACGCACACAATAGTTTGGTTCGGGTTTGGGTGGTGACTTTTGAACTTTCGCATTATATTGCACGGTATCTAAAATTACAAATTAAGATACAATATATACAATTTTCAATGTCCAAAGCTATTTTGGAAGCCAGTGTTATTTATATTACATGTGTATTTTTATTTTTTTATCTTATAAAAAAAATCAAACATGTTTTTATCGCACCAATCTGAAAATTCGTACTTACAAGGGTCTACAAAGTAAGCTGTCACGTAGTGGTATCCATTGTCTAAAACGACTGGTGAATTCTTCAGTGGTTCAAATGGATAATTGTTTGGATTTGGACTGAAATTGGCTGGCCACTGTGAAAGAGAAGTTGTTAAAAACATTATAAATACACCCCATGCACCCGTCCTTTCACAGAGAAATGCGGAGAAATAGGCAAAATACGTCGATTGTTTTCTAATTATCACTAATTATTTAGCCCAAGCAGAACTAGCCGTGATAGAGCCTTGCCCTCAATGTCTAGGATATAGTCTAACGGGAAGTGTTGGGGATTTAGCCTAACCGCGATGCTTGATATAGAATTAACCCACAGCGCTGGTGATGTAACATAATCCGAAACACTGGGATATAGCATTGTTGCATCATTATTACACCTTTCCATGCAGTTTAAATCACTGGGACCATATATTCCGAATTGTTTCCTATTCAAATTACGTATGTTCTCATTCGATTTCAAATTTTACAAATTCAATAGGTTCAGAGTAAAATGATATGGTTTTATCATACGTTATCTGTTGAAATAAAATTTATCTTAATTATAGTGGGGAAAAAGATTCCCACTAACCCTTTAGCATTTTTTTAAATACATGCAGGAGACTTCTGGCGCAAATGCGATACTTACCCCAATCTGGATTCCGGCAATGTAACCAGCTACGTCAAAGATAAGTATCACTGCATGATCTCTGCTTTTGATGAACCTTTCTCCCATAAACTTAGGATTATCTGAGTACAAAAATGTACAAGTATATAACACTTGGAATGACTGTCGTTATCACATGCATACATTTTACATGGGACTTGACCAAAAGTACGTTCATTGATAAAAATACAATAAAAGGAAATTGTTTATTGAATCCGCTTGTGAACGATTCTATAAAACTCTAGAAGCCGGCTATATCAAATGCAAATCTAGACTTTCACTTGATGTGGATATTGTTAATATTATCCAGTTCAGATTTTTATGGCCCTTTCCTGCATACACTAATGATTAGTTTTGATCCTTTTTTTTCTATATTGATCAACAAATATTTTCTTACGTTAAAATCTATAAGAAGTCCAGCATGTCATGTTTCTTTATTATCTTTTAAGTGATTATGTAACTGAGTCAATGGGTAGCTTTTTGCTACTATTATGTTTATTAAAGAGCGATTATTGAGCGTACTATTTTATCACAAAAAACACGTGACAAAATGTGTATTATATACTTTTTTATAGCCTGGGTTCCAGTCTCTCGATTTTTTATGTGCTTCTGTTCAGCAAAGCGACGTTGATATTATTCAAACACGATCGAGTATGAAATAGCGTGTATGTTATGAATAAGCAAAAAATATCAACGCCTGAATCCCAGGCTAACTTTTTTATGGATGCCATACAAGCGATTAAATGTGTTACCACTGCATCCGCCGGGATTGAGTGAGACCCATTGACTAGATAAAGCTGCGGCACGTGTACGTGGCATACTCTTGAAGGAACTGAATGGGTTAAAACCCCATGTCACTGAAAAAGAAAGTAAAAAGTGCATAGTCGTCACCGTTTTTTACAAGATTTACCTCCCTTGCCAAAAGTTGCTGCCATAAAAACAATATAATATAATTGGCAACATATGAACAGCCGATTATACGTTAAATATCAACTTTCTTTCATATTCAATTCATATGCTGCAGAATATTACTATAAAGCACCAATGTGTAAAAGATTTTTTTATTACATGATAGAGTTATGAGAGATTTAATCTGATATATTGGAAACTAAATCCAAAAGGGCGGTCATGGAAGTTATATTAATTGCCATGTGAGAACAAACATCTATATACGAAAATTGTTTAGATGGAAGACGTAAGTAAAGGAGGAAATATTTGTCTTGAAATTCACAGGAAACAACCAAATAAAAGAAGGAATTTCAATGAATATTATTTTGTAAAATATTATCGCGATTTCTCATGCTTCTGGTAGGCTTAAAACTAATAAAGTAACTAGTAAAGTAATTAACGTTCAGTTTAGTATATATGTATATGGTTTCTTGCACTAGGTAACATTGGATTAAGTATAGTGGCTAATTTGTGCCATTCATTTTTTCGCCACGCGACCCCGCCAAGCAAAAAGTCGGTAATTAACAAGCTAAAATGGCGGGGGCTCGGAGCGTGATTAAAGAAATAAAACGGGGGTGGTGCGGAGCGAAAAACGCTTATTAGAAGGGGCACGGGGCGAAGATCTATGAATAAAACTTCGCATCAAAGCCCCGCTAATTAGCTTGTTTTCGTTACGCGTCGCCGCTGTTTTCTTTGTTAAATATCGCTTCGCGCCCCCACGGGCTAACGTTCTATTTATTAAATCCCGCCATTTTAACTTATTAATTCTCAATTTTTCGTTTGTCGGTGTCATGGGGCGAAAAGACGAATGGCACAAATCAGCAACCATAATTAAGTGTAAAAAGCTTCAAGACATAATTCACATTGGATTGGACGAGTATCAATAAAGAACAAACTTTGGCTAAATTAAGTGCGCGTTAGTGTTTAGCATTAAAAGGTGCCTTTTTATAAGCAGAATTAGGAAGAATTTTGTCAACTGAAGAGTGATACATACAACAACAACAAAAAACAACAACAACAAAAAAGCAACCCCTCCCCCTTTAAAGAAACAACAAGAAACAAACAAACAACTAAAAAATTTAAAACTTAAAAGTTTAGGGATAAAAAACACAAGAAAACTCCGGAAAATTACTCACCTTTCAAGCCGTTCCAGCTTGAGTCTGAAATAAAAAGACGGCACTGTGAATTTAATATGCAATGTGCGTTTTCCATGTATTAAACAGTCAAGTACTTATGGTGTAACTAAATCAAAACAATCACATCTACTTTAAAACCTCTAGTTCTAAAGCGAAACTTCTATATTAATATAAATCACGTTATTCCAAAGCGCAGATAAATATAAGAAATAGACCACCTATCATTATTAAATTGACCTTCCAGTCAAACATTGAAAGGATCGAGACTGCGGTAAAGGTCCGTTGAAATGGTCTTTGTGGTGCCGTATATGTCACAATGACGTTGAATGTCGCACTTGCCGCTAAATGTCGCACATTTGCCGCTGAATGCCACAACCGCCGCTAAAATAATGTCTCAAAAATTTTGCCGTTTAATGTCGCACCATTTAACCTTACGTTAAATGTCACTACAATACCATTTTATGTCGCAATAACTGAAATCTTGTTTAATAACTGGTATTATGTCAACATTAACGTCATGTAGGTGATCTGGGGACTAGCTAAAAACTTGCTGTGATTTACAAAATAAATGGTTGAAATTGAAGTCATCTTAGTCGGTATTATAATCTGATGACCACAATTCATGCCAAAAAGCTCCTTGGTGATAAAACACATTTGTATATTTGGTTTCTAGCTACGGCATCGGCTTGAGATTGATCTAACTCACAAATTTTTGCTACAGTCAGTTTACTGTTTTACAAATTTTAATTGTGCAATCATCACTTAAGGTCCCGTATGCAAAATATCAACGCAGTGTGTCTTTTTTTTTGAGAAAGTTACAGGCGTCCGAAGTAAAAATGCTGTCATTGTAGGCCAGAAATGTATTTAAGGGGCTACCTATGGTGACAGAAAATGCTCTGAAACTTGCTAACATTCTGAAAGAAAATCAAGCTCACTCTTTTTTTATTCGTATTCTACCTTTATTTCCGATTGAGGCTAAGAAATATTTGTAAGAATATCCAAATGATACGTTTCTATTATTTTATCAATATTTGAAATATTTCTTGAAAATGTACCAATTGTAGACCGATCAACTTTAAAAAGCATTTTTCATCTTGAGTCGGCAGATGGATCGGACAATATTTTATGTCCAAAAGCTACTAGCTATGTTCAATGTTTGTTGTAATTTTATACCACCAAATAACTTAATTTTATTATGAATATACAACTTGCGACATTAAACATAATTGTTGCGACATTTAAAAATAAGGGAAAATCGTGCGCTATTCAACGTAACCATTGCGACATTTAACGGCGATTTATCGGCAATTACGGCATTTAGCGGCATTGGTGCCATATTAAGCGACAAGTGCGACATTTAGCGGTGTTTCATCATATAACGGTACAATCAGAGATGCTATCTAGAGATGCTAAAAGTTGCCAAATGTTCTTAACAGTTTTCGTGCGACGTAAAACCCAACCAAAACTATTTCTTAAATAATACGAGTTATATAATATAATATTTTTAGCAGTAAATTTTGTTCGCTTATATAGAAGCGCACACGACTTTGAATAATTTCCTCATTTGATACAACTATCTACGTTTTTTAATAATTTTATTAATTAAACCAACAAACATGGTCATCTGGCTTTCATTGTTTGCTTTCATTTTCACTTTAAAACGAATAATGTCGGATAATTTCGTAAGTAAGTATTTAGATATTAAAACAAATAGAGAAACAAAATTAATATGGTAATTTGTGTTAAACTAAACAAATGAATTGAAAGTTAATTTATGAAAAACAAAAGAAACTTACGATCTCTTCCAAAGAGGAAGCAGGAGGCAAGCGCCGGCAGAATGAATAAAATTGATACCTTCAACATGTTTGGTCCGTTCTAATATCACTACTGGTATTAGAAATACACAGACACCTAGTTTTTTTTTATTTTAATTTATATCGGAAGCATGTTTGCCTAAAGATAAGAAACACAATATTATAACTGTTATACACCGGAATAGTGGACTTGTCAACTGCGTCACTAAAGAATTATCCTAAATGGACAGTAAATGTACTCACTTGATAACATATGACGCTTCACGTTTACACTGTTGAAATGTCATCGTTATACATGTTTAACATAGTTAATCTTATCATTACAAGCACTGTACGTAGTTAGTCGTTAAAGCAGCATGCCTCCAGATTCATGCCAATTTTCATGAAAATGAAAAAAAAAAAATTATAATAAAAAAAAACAAAAAAACACGACGAAACCTATTTATAGCACAAAAAACAACAAAGAACCGTATAATTGCCAAATAAGAAGTACATTTACATTTTTATAAAAGAATAGCGCTAATGCACTCTTTTCCATGTATATCATGTACAGAATCTCTTTAACTTTGTTCAATCAAATGCAATGTGGATGCAGCATCGTGCTTCTGCAGCTGCAGCTGTTAATGTCCAAAGAGAAAAGGTGCATTAACCGTCAGTTAAAATCGTCATTATTTAATGTATTGATACTATTCGACAACGCTTACTTTCAAAAATATAAATTGCTTCATTTAAAGAAAAATAAAAAATGGAAATAAACAGTTGATATGTGGTAAGAGCACTTGTAATAGTGGAAGGCTTCTTAATAAAAGATATTTGTCTATGACCACCGAACATGAAAGAATCTCTCAGTTAGACAGAATAAAACATCAAAGAACACCACCGCAAATAAAAAAACCGCAACAAAAACAGCAACAACAACAGCAACAACAACAACAACAGCAATTAATTGTGTATTTTATTCTAAATAAGCGTAGCTCTCAACAGCGTATTGTCCAACAATATTGACCTGGCACTTCATTAATTTTCGTAAAGGTCACTGGATAAAGACTGGTATCTAACGAATATATGATATATTTGATTATTTGTTACCTTCACACGTCAATGAGTTCTGGTGTATTGGTATAGATGCCGGACTACTGATTTGAAGGTCTCTAGTTCGATACCTAACTAACACCACGTTATGAAGATATGCATTTTTTATTTTATTTTGGAATTTACTTGCAAGAATTAATTTGAAATCGTTTTACTACATCTTGTTTTAGGATACCTTTTAAATAGTGAATTTTTATACAGTTATATTTTTAAATTCATAACATTATCTTTTATTAATAAAAAAGTACAGCGCGTTTATAAAACAAATTTAAAATTTTAGACAGATAGAACACACTCAAAAAATCAAAACGTTTTGTACGAGTTTAGAGAGAAATGGCAATTTCAAAATTAAAACAAGAATAGAAATAAAAAGGGGCTGAACCAGGATTCGAGCATACAAGCTTACATCTATACATATTCCTGAAGTGAAAGTCTTTTTGGCTTGCAGCCACGGCTGCAAGCCATTTGTTTTGAATAACTTGTTCCGGTAAGGTGGTTTCCTGTTTCCAATTGTTAGTGCATGATTGAACGGGAAACCAGCTGCAATCGTGCCAATCGCAACTTTTCGGCCTTTTCCGTCACTCTTCGGATTAATGATAATAGCCGATGTAGTTCCGATTGCAATCGTGACAATTCGGGCGATTCCGTCATACTGCGGAATCTGACGAAGTAATATTACGGAAATCTAAGCTATTTTAGTTACTTCGGTAATCCCAGTTTGTTTATATAAATAGGATTTCTATTTTTACTTGATTTATCGGTTTAAACCGTAATAAATTATAAACGAAATTGTTCCGTTTCAATTGTTTTTCAAGACGCAAAAGTTAGTTTCTTTTATAATTGTTTTTTTTGTCTGTATTAGTTTTATACAATAGAGAATGGTGACTGTAGTAGTATTCCGTCTTCAAAGGGTGGTCCTGCTTACCAAATCACGCATGATCGAGTTATATTTAGATCTACTGAACGCAATTCAACTTCTTGGTGAGGTAATCTAAAAATAGCCCATGTATATCATTAACCTTGCCACGTGCTGGCATCGTCTATTTGTGATCGTGTAACATAGTTGATACATGCTTATTAATTGGTACCACGTAACGAAGTATTTTAGTGCATTTACTTGTCTATAAAGCAAAGGAATGATTTCGCTGCGAAAAAGGGGAAATGAAATGTGCACACTTGTTTCCCTTCAGTATCACGTTAGTATTTTTACGATTGATCATTTTCTACAATAGAGAATAGATTTCAAATCGTTTTGACAAAAAATATTCGGTTTTCCAAAAAAACAAAAAAAACCAAAAAAAAAACAAACAACTAAATAAACCCTTTATGATATAAAAATATTGTAATTAAAAAAAAAATGTGATAATAAATTGAAACCAAAAAAAAAAAAAAATTTTTTAAAGGGTTGGGATGAAGGCACAACTGTGCAAGCCTTTCCTTTTAAAAGGAAACTTTATTCTGACTGCGATAAGAGGGATTTTTAATCTAGACTATTTAATAACTGCTTATCTACATTCATATCGATTTACAAGTAGATAGTAACGTTTACGGAATTTACCGACTATAGGGTCAAATGCAAGAGTGCCAGGTCAATGTTGTTGGACAATAATATTGGATTTCTTAATTGTTGCTAATGTTGTTGTTAATAAGTAAAAACAAATAAACCTTCAATTGTCTGAGTAAGGAAGTGGCGATAAGTGTGACACGAGTGCATGTCAAGGGTCGATACATCATTTAGTGAATGAGTCATTTGTTATTTCAAATACACTGGTTTATTGATTTAGTTTAAAATACTATATACATTACAGACGTTTTTTACAAGTGTTACATCTAAAAAAATTTTTTTTATATAAATAAATTTATAAGTGTCTTATTTAAATAATGTAAAGTTTCTGATTTAAGTTATCTAAAATTTCTGATTTATGCAACCTAAACTTTCTGATTTAAATAATTTAAAGTTTCTTATTTAAATAACCTAAAGTTTCTAAATAAAATAATTTAAAATTTCTTATTTAAATAACCTAAAGTTTCTGATTTATATCATTAAGAGTTTCTTATTTAAAAATAATCTAAAGTTTATGATTTAAATAACCTAAAGTTTCTTATTTAAACAATCTAAAGTTTCTGATTTAAATAAATCTACAAGTAAATGTTGACCTTAAAACATGCCAGTTCAACACGTTCCTCAAAATTACTTACAAATACATTTAGAAATAAATAACAATAATGATAAATTGATAATAATTATAATAAAATAATAATAATTATAATAAAATAATAATAATAATAGTAATAATAATAATAATAATTATAATAATAATAAGAATGATAAGAAGAAGAAAAAGAAAAAGAAGAAGAATAAATAGACAAAAAAGTGGATGAAGAAGGGGTTAAAACGAGAGAAAGATGAAGAAAAAAATAACTTAAACTCGTTTGGAGGACTTGCCGATTCATAGATTTCCAGATGGAAAATTCCCATGAGGTTATTTTTTTCTATTGTTTTAAGTTTCACACAAATTTTATCTTTAAAATACAAATTCCTATCATTTTTTACATTTTTTCTAAGGGAATGCATTTTATATCTTAACCAGGAAAATATAATACAAATAACAAACTTATCCGGGTTCAAAATGTCAACTATATATTGCGCCTTTTTAAAACATCCTGGATCATCGAGGTCCTGTCTCTTTATATGGCCAATCACTGAAAATACGAGTATAAAGTTATCGAATTATTATACATAATTGACTAAATAATAAAAAGTAGAATTTTAAAAACTCTTAACAAGTCCGATATTATATAATTCAATGTTAAAGGGATTTCGGGACTGAGATTTTTTTTACATGAGGTGATAACTTGCCAATAACTTGTAATCAAAAACTTGTTTCTGGAACAGGAAATGCTGGTGGAAAACCTAAAGATATTGTAACTTTGTCTTCAACTCAGACGACCGGTGCATCTTCGGATGTCAACATCAAGAATGACATCGAGCTAAGTTTAGTTCAAAACAAGAAACAAGTGATGCTGGATATTCGTCAGGCGTTGACAATAAACCAAAGAAAGCCAAGGTTATTTATATCTCGTCCGATGGAGGTCTTACAACAGACGAGGAGGAAGAATCTACAAGCCGGATAACAACTCTCAGAGTTCCTGGAGTAAGTTTAGCCAATTCCAAAACTGACAAAGAAAGCGCGAATAATACCAATCTCACGCGCTACGACATACCGATCTGTTGGTTTGCGCGTGCGCAGAAAGACAAAGATAATGGTAATACTAACAGTTTCATTCATCATAACTACATTTTTGTACTTGACGCTTCTGTCGTTTATTGCTGAAAACATTTTGAAAGACTCGGGTGGTGGATTGAAAGGAGTTTATTTCTTTTTTTCGGCTGTACTTTATAAATCACCTTACAAATCCGATCCTATATGGAATTCTTGATCCTCATTTCAATAAAAAGTGATGATGAAGCTATAACACAGAATATGTGGTTGAACATGAAATAAACCCAGAACTTTAAAAAATTTCGGACAGAAAGACAAAGTTTATGGGATTTTGTATTTCATGGTAAATTATTTAAAATATCTGAAACCGTTAAATTATTGAACTATTAAAAAAAGATATGTATGTTTATGTGTATGAATTTTACTATTTGCAACAATAAAGAAGAAAAAACAATGAAAGGGTATAAATCACGTATTAACTTTACTGTATTGAATGGCAACATGCCTTCTTAGTGTGTGTGTATGTTTGTTTACATGTATTTATATATGCCACCGGTAGCGCATATTGGCGAGTCTTCCAGAAGAGTATTAGTCATTTTAGATTTTGAGGATAGTGCAAGATACAGATTTTGAAAGATGCTCCAATTCCAGAAGCTTCTCCTGGTTCTTTAACGTGTCAAGTCTTAAAGCGCTTATACAAGAGACCTCGATTTGAAGATTCATTTGAAAGACTGATGTTGGAAAACCCGGGTGTTGAACAAGTCTCGCGCTCTAACCGATAACGCTTTGCAGGCTGTCTATAAGCCTTCTTATCCAGTGCGCATTGCAAAAGAATACCACGTGACCAAAATATGGTGACATTATTTTATACTTCCAGGAAGGGAATCA